AGATGATCCCTGCATCCATGAGCTTCACGATCTCTGCCCGGACCACTGCCTCCAAGTTAGGAGACAATCTCCTCTGCGGCTGCTTGACTGGCTTAACCTCATCCTCCATCAGAATTCTGTGGGAGCAGAAGGATGGGCTAATGCCTCTGATGTCTGTGATCTTCCAAGCCATGGCCCGGGCATACTTCTGTAGCAAAGCCACCAGCCTGCTCTTCTGCTCGGGTGTCAGATCCGAGCTAATAATGACCGGGAGCTTATTCCCCTCCCGGAGAAATGCATACTCCAGGTGAGAGGGGAGGGGCTTAAGCTCCAGATCTGGTGTCTCCTCCAATGATGAAGCGATCCGGGGCGAGATAGGGATCGGCTTGAATGGTATCTCTCGCCCCTCGATCATGGCCTCGTCTAGCTCCGCGAGCTGCTCCTCCAGCTCCATGTCCTGTGATGCCTGTTCCCCTAGCAAAAGACAACGCTCAAGGAAATCATCAATACCCGCACTCGTGATGGCGAGTGCGGTCTCAAAATCAGCAACAACATCACAGTAATCTAGATCATCATGGAGCTGGGGGTGTTTCATATTATCAGAAACAGAGAAGGTGATTTGTTCACCCCCAGCTCTCAAAATCAGTTTTCCATCATTAACATCAATAAGCGCCTTGGCGGTGGCGAGAAAAGGTCTACCCAGTATCAATGGCACATCAACATCCTCATTTATGTCCAAAATCACGAAATCAACAGGATATGAAAATGGCCCTACTGCGACTATCAAGTCCTCTGCTATACCCCTAAGATGCACAATGGATCTATCAGCAAGCTGGATGCTCATCCTAGTATCACTGGGTTCACCTAGGCCTAGCTTTTTAAACAGTTTATAAGGCATGACATTAATGCTAGAGCCTAAATCCGCCAAGGACTTCCCTATATGCAAACTACCAATCATGCAAGGGATAGTGAAACTCCCTGGGTCTTTTCGCTTCTCTGGTAGTTTGTTCTGCAGGATGGCAGAACACTCCTCGTTGAGCATCACCGTTGACAGCTCCCCAAGCTTCCTCTTGTTGGTGAGGAGATCCTTCATGAATTTGGCATACTTGGGCATCTTCGATAATGCCTCCACAAAGGGCATGCTAATGTTTACCTGCTTCAGCATTGCCATGAATTTGGCAAACTCAGTCTCCAGTCGGTCCTTGTGCAACCGAGTAGGAAAGGGAAGCTGGGGTACATACTCCTTCACTACTGGTTGCAGTTTAGGTGCAGGCACCTCAACCTCCTTCTCTGCTTCTGCTTCAGCTGCTGGAGATGCCGAGGCAGGGGCCTCTCTCTCTTGTTCCCGAGCAGGTGGAATGGCATTGCCACTCCTGGTCATGATGGCATTGCAGTGCTCATTCGGGTTCTGAGGGTGAGGAATGGTCTGACCGGGCAAGGTACCAGGAGCCCTTTGTGCCACTGCTTGAGCCACACTCCCCAGCTGGGTCTGGATATCCTGCAAGACAGCCTGTGTGTTCCTCTGGCCAGCTTCAAGAGCCAGGAATTTACCCGATGCCTTTTCCATGAACTGCTCGATGGTGTTAAATTTTTGAGCACTAGAACTGGCGAGAGAACCCACCAATTCCCGCAGTTCAGCCATCTGATCATTCTGCACTGGGGCAGCAAGGGCTGCACCTGGCTGCTGGAAAGGTCGCGGCTGTGATGGAGCAGCATGCCCCTGCATGGGCTGGTAGAGAGACTGCTGCTGCTGGAATTGCCCCTGTCTGGGCTGATATGGTGGCCTCTGGAAGCCCGGTGGTCCCTGGGGGACTGGTGGTCTGGAATTTGCCCCACCCCAGGAGAAGTTGGGATGCTGGCGCCACCCCTCATTGTAGGTGTTACTGTAGGGGTCATTGCGCCTGACATTGTTGATGAAGTTCACCTGCTCCTGGGGCGTGGTCGATTCCTTCATCGCCTGGCAGTCTTCCACTGTATGATGGGTGCTCTCGCACCACTGGCAGAGCATAGCCTGCTGCTGTCCGGTACCTGCAATCAAACCAGAACGATCGATAGCTGAAACCAGCTTCGATACCACATGCACCAAATCAGATGACTGGGTGCCCACAGCATGCACACCCCGGCCTGGTGCTCTCCTCGATCTCCTGGCAGTGCCCCAATCGCACCCGTTCTCCGCCATCTCCTCAAAGAGTTGATTCAGCTGTGGCGGTGTTTTGGTCAGCATGTTCCCGCCACAGACCGAATCAATCAGCTGCTTGTCCTCCGGGAAGAGGGCATGATAGAAGGTTCCCACCTTGAAAGCATCGTTGAAACCATGATTGGGACACCTAAGGAAGAGACTGTTATATCTCTCCCAAGCATCCCGGATGGTCTCATCTTCGTCCTGGGTGAAGTGGGTGATCTGCTTCTGCAAGTCAGCTGTCTTGGATGGAGGATGATAGCGGGTGAGGAACTTGTCCGCCAGGTTGGCGAACATAGTGATGGAGCCTGGAGGTCGAGTGTCTAGCCACTCCTTGGCTTGCCCCTCCAGAGTGAATGGGAAGTACCTCAGCTGGATGGCATCTGCGGGTACCCCATTGATCTTGATTCCATCAATGAGCTCGTGGAATCGCCGGAGATGTGATTGGGGGCACTCCCTCCTTGCCACGGAACATCACCGAACCGCGCAGCATGGTGATTACCGAGGTGCTCACCTCAAAATTATTGGCTGGGACATGAGGGTGTTGAATGGGTGACCTCATGTCTGCAGCCCTTGCGGTCCAGTAATGTCCCATGGTCTGCTCCTCGGGATCGACCACAACATGGTCCTGTGGATTAGCCATCTCCTCTTCTTCAGTGATCTGTAGCTGTGCTAGCGCCTCCTCCGCAGCCAGTCGCGCCTTTAGAGCCCGCTTGAAGTTTCTGCAGGTTCGTTCAAGCTCCTGGTCTAGTGGTAGTAGATCTCCCGACTGGCTACGGGTCATGCACTACCTGCACACAATCAGCAGAAGCAACCCGTTAAGGTACACAGGTGGAAGAGATAAAATGCAGTAAATAAAAAGCTAGAGTAACAAATTCTCACGTTTCCCCAATAACCTAGAGGGTTCCCCGGCAACGGCGCCAAAAACTTGACACGCCAAAACACAACACCAATCTGCGACCAAGTGTAATCGCAGACCGGGAATGCAGTAACAGGCAAGTTATATTATCAACCCGGGGTCTAGATCTACTGCTTACTCAGTGATTCTCTGTTATCTAGCCAACTAAAGTGAGTGATTCTTGTTTAAAAGCAAAAGCAGAAATAAAGCAGGAAATTATTCGGTTTTCTCAAGCAGGAAAGAGTCACTCGGGAATGAATCCCCCTAGCTCCTTAGTTAGGTTCAATTGCAATTTACCCTGGGTTGATTTACTGTTGATTAGACTGCGGAAGATCCGGCAGTAGCTTGGAATCTCTTAAGCTGACCAAGCCCTCTCAGTCTAACTATCCGGCAGACGACTAGTCTTCACCGGGATAGAAAGCTGAAGCAGTAAGAACAGAAATTCACTACTGGAATTAGATTCCAGTACAAAGCAGTAAACTGGCTAACTCTCGTATAGCCAATCTCCTACTATCGAATGATGAGACTCTAGCAACCTAATCAGATTCTATCTATCTCAGATTGCAGCAGGAATCAGGAAAAGTTGATCAGACTTCAATTGACTCAATAAACATGCATCATTCGATTAAAATCAAACAGTAATATCATCCCAAGTCATTACAATCAATCCCCTAACACATAGAACTAGGGTTCTTCATCCCCAAGTGAGAGAGAGGTTCTACTCCATAGAGAGAGAGAGGAAAACAGTAATCGGAGTAGTCATACTCATAAAGATGAGGAAAATCTGCTACGGGATGATGATTTCCACTCCTAGGACGATCTCCAAGCTTGATTTGATGAAACTCAGCTCCAAGATGGCTTCTAGGGTGAGTTCTTCGCACTTTCTCTCTCTAGGGCTCTGTTTTTGCTCAAGAAGTCCGATCTCTCCACTTTTGGTTCGAAATTGGCTCAAAAACCAGAATTTCCCGACTCACACGGGCAGGCCACACGGCCGTGTGGCTCACCACTTTGCCCGTGCGAGTCGAAACGCAGCGTATGGATTAGTTCGGTCTTCAGCCATCTCACACGGCCAGGGTGGCACGGCCGTGTGGATTTCATGGGTTGCCCGTGTGTGGCCTCGGCAAAAATCACACGGCCACATAGCTCACTTGCACGGCCGTGCGATGCCCCAGTCTGCCCGTGCGGCTTCCTTGAAACCTCGCCATTCGTCCGATCTTCGTCCAATCGACCCCAGACTCGCTCCCAAGCCTCCATTCACGTACTAGGACCTGAAATATCACAAACAAGCACAACCTAGCGTGAAATCGGCCTAAAACACGAGAATCAACACGTCAAACTGTGTAAGAACAGGGGTAAAAACATGTGTAAATAACGGTCTATCATCCACCATTCCCAAAGCACCTCCAACCCCAGCCAATCAGCCGCCAAGTTTCTCCAACACAGTCCTGCGAACAACAGCCGGAATCCCTAACAGACACAATGATATCACGCAAGACTTACTAAGCACATCTGTAGGCCCCATCCCACGGGGTCGGGCAGGGGCAAAGTAAAATATCGATCTCTGATGACCAACGCGCGTCCGGGCCACCAAACGACCCCAACTAAGGCCAACCAGAAGGCAACGACCAGTCCCACCCCGACCGAGCCCCCAAACTCCGTCAGATCCCAATGAGGCCTCACCCAACAACAGCCCACACGCCAGCCCACGCCAGGATGAAACAGTAATTCTCAGTCACGCTGTACAGTAAAAGGTGTCTGCGTGTACAATACCAGGGGCTGCGGTGGGTTTCTTTCTTTCAATATTTAACATTATGGTACAACTTTAAGTTGTACATTAAAGCACCAATACTTTATAGCATAATAGAAGTGCTCCTTTAAAATATAGTTAGTAAAATACGGTACGAGAAAGTTACGTATAAAATACGTACAATTATTTTACTTCATTTTTATGCTAATGTTATGTCTAATAATACGTTAATAGTCCTAAATATATATATATATATAATTAATTAATTTAAAAAAAATAAATATATAAATAATAGTAAAGTTAGTAATTTAATTCATTAAATACGGATATTAAACGTGTTATACGGGTTTTATACGTGTTTAATACAAAAGCTATCAAATGAACGGACAAAAAAGAAACGACTTGACAATAATACAGATACATAAGTTTTAAACGGATAAAGTACGTACGGGTACATATACGTAGGGCTAGAAGTTTGGTACCGGTACTTGGGATATACCGAATACCGTATAGAATTTGTCTATATTAGGTATTACTGAATACACGTATTATTTCTTGGGATTGGGATTGAGATTCAATTTCAATTGTTAATCAGTATTAGGGATTATGAGATTGGGATCTGTATATACCAAAATACAGAACAATACCGAAATATAAGCTAGTGTGTATTTTATTCTCTCAACTAGACTCTCTCATTCACTACTACATGACCCTCAACCAACAATCTATTGTTATTTTCATAACAGCAAAAAGCAAACACTAGTATTATTCTTCTCTCACCCTCCAATTCGTCAAATTAAAGATTACCAATGACAAAAACTTGAGATGCCACCTCTCCTCCATTCTCTTTATCCATATCTTAGCTCCAGACAAACTCAATACTCTTCGCTTAGTCTCTTTTTCCTATATTAAACAATCAAATATAATTTATATATTTAATTATTAATTGTAAAGGTATTTAATTTTGTATTCGGTAATACCAATTGGGATATCGAGGTACTGATTGGGATACCGAAATAATTAGGAATTGGAATTGGGATACCAAAATTATTTAGGGATTGAGTTTGAGTTTAGGGTGTAATTCGATATTCGAGATTCCGATATTTGGTATTGGGATACCTATACCGTACCGATTTCCACCCCTACATATATGTGTATTAAACGGAGAATTTACTAACTATCCCATTTGTATTTTGGCCACTAAACCGTAAAAATTGAAAATAATGGCCACCTAAAAAGCAAGGACCAGGATACCGTACCGGACCGGCCGGTCGGACCGGGAGAATCGGAAACCGGAGGTGAAACGACACAATAGGGTTGTGTACCCTTCAAAAACCTGTCGGGCGGTATTTGCGGTTGGACCGCAATGGGCCGAAATTTCGGCTGGTTTTAATAAACCCGGCGGTCCCTTCATTTTATGCAAACGACGCCGTTTTGATGCAAAAAAAAAAAAATGGAAGGGAAGCAGAGACGCAAAAACCCTACCTTCGGCTGGCCCTTGCTAGCGCTATTCTCTCTGCCTCTCGTCTCCCTCTCCCAGCGCCGCTCTGCCTCTCGTCTCCCCGCGCCGCGCCGCTCTTCCTCTCGAACTCTACCAGAGATCAACACCACCGGCGACTATTCTCTCTGCCACTCGTCTGCCTCTCCCAGAGCCGCTCTGCCTCTCGTCTCCCCGCGTCGCGCCGCTCTTCCTCTTGATCTTCTAGTGCACCAGCGAGGGCTGCTTTCCCCTCCGAGGTTTTGGACCCAGTAGAAAGAGATAACTGAGCAAGATTATAGCTTTGATTCGATTCCTTTTGAAATTGGGAGTTTTCTTGTTCGTGCTGATGGCTGCTTTGACTTTAACTTGGGTTGTGAATTAAATTGTTGGTTCAAGGCTATGAAGGAAAAATCTCTGGTTTTGGGGGAAGCTTGACTTGGTGTGGTTTCTTCTTGACCTTTCTAGTTTTGCTTGGGGTGGAGATCATGAATCACGAAGGTGGGTATATGGTTGAAGTTACGGGGCTTACTCCCAAAGCCACGGAGAAGGATGTTCATGATTTTTTTGCCTTCTCCGGCGCTATTCAGCATGTTGAAATCGTCAGGTAAACAGAAAGCAAGAAGAAAAGAAAATGAAGAAGAATCAGAAGAGAGGAAACATTCTAGTTTTCTTCTTCTTCTTTCCAACCTGGTTATTTTTCTTTGTGGGTTTTGGCTTTTCTAATTGTGTAATGAATAGGTCTGGTGATTACGCATGTACTGCTTATGTGACATTCAAAGATGCATATGCCCAGGAGACTGCTGTCCTGCTCAGTGTAAGGCGGTATAATCCGGTTTTATTTCGGTATTTTCCCGGTATGGTATCCTAATTTTGTCAGTACGGTTTTTTAACAAAAAAACAATTTTTTTATTCCAAAAACGGTATTTGCCGGTAGTGATGGCAATGGGTCGGGGCGGGGCGGGTACCTCAATACCCATGCCCCGCCCCACGATAGTACAGGTCGGGGCTGGTAATACCCGCGCGGGTACGGGGCGGGGCAGGTCGACCCACTCTTACATGCTATTTGAGAAAAATACACGTACAATTTTACTTTTTATGATAAAACGAAGGGGAAAAAACTTGATGAATGAATAATAGTGATAATATAATAAGTAATTGAGTCTATTTAGTTGAAAGATCAAGTCTAACTAGTTGAATAAAAGCCTAAATAGGAGATATATGAACGGATGTGGTAAAAAATTGACATAGAACGGGCTAAGAATGGGGCAGGGCGGGTCGGAAGTCGATACCCATGCCTCGCCCCACGCTAATGCGGGTCAGGTAATACCCGCCCCATCGCGGGCCAGGTCGGGTATTACCTGGCGGGACGGGTTCAAATTGCCATCCCTATTTGCCGGTAGGAAACGATTGAACCATGGTTGTACCACGATTTACCATGCCAAAAACGATTCCGGTTTGATGTCCGGTACGGTTTCGTAATCCATGCTAAAAAGTACAAAATAATAAGGAAATCATCTGCCGGAGTAAATTTCAACCCGTCGATTGACTTCCACACTTGCCTCTAAATCATAATGCCGTATTGAATTATCAACAAGGAGTTGGCAGAAAGTGGAGCCTCACCATTACTCACGAACTCGTTTATTTTTCCTGTTTAATACAAACCAAATCCAAGACGCAGAGCCCATCAATGGAATGGAAGCCATTCGAAGGAGTTAGATCAACCATTCAGCGACTCTAGTCTCTCCCTTTCCACCAGGAGGAAGAAGAAGAAGAAGAAGGGCAAAGAAAGAACACCCACAAGATTCGGCCGTCTGCCTGCCTCGATTCACCCTGTTGTTTGTGTCTGAAATTGTGAAAGTCTTCAGCTTTGAGTCTCCGTTTACTAACCTACAAACTTGGGCCTCTTCTTCTTCCTTCTTTCCTTCGCAAAACTTGGTGTGGCGTGGGCAATAAACAAATAAAAATGACATCTTTTTCGTAGCACGTATTCATCATCATCAGCTCACACAGAGACAAGAGAGCTACGACGCCACTCTCCACAACCCACCAAAATAGTTATTTTATTTTTATCCACCTTCCCTTCCTGTTTCTCTTTGGCTAAACTCTTCCTTTTTTCCGTCCGGACTTCTAGCTTAGTTGTATTTTGATCCTCTACGATACCAAGCACTGTCGTCTCTGTTCTGGACATCTGGGTTCTCGGGAAGAAAGAAGTTTTCTTTCCTCGCGTCTCTGCTTCTTTTTCTTCATCTGTTAGCCCTTTCCCCAGTTTCCTCTTGAATCTTACACGTTCCCACCTTTTGGTCTTTTGATTGTCTCTTTGGTTGTGACGATTGCTTTGATTCAGTGGGTAAAAAGGGTTTTGTACAGCAGCTCTCGAAGTCTCCGCTGGGTCTGTTCTTGTAGATTGCTGTGACTCAGTCCGCTGTTTTGTTGGTACTCTTTTGAGAAGTTCGTTTTGACTTGCTCTAGCTGGGGAAGTCTCTAATCGATTGAAGTTTCGTTTATTGGATTGGTCAAATTAAGGTCAATGCAAAGTGTAGAAGCAAGGGGGTTTTGAAGTGTTTTTGCCGATCTTTCCTCTTTTGTTGTGATTAGATTCGCTGATTGGAGCAATACCATATGTTTTACTTTCCCAAGGATTACTTTGTGGGGATTGGAATCGATATGCTTTAGTGAAAAGGGCAGATCTTGATGTTGAAATCACTGGGAATCCATCGGAAGTGATCTGAGGGTTCCAGGGGTTTTGATTAGATGGGTAATAACTGTGTTGGGCCAAGCACTGCCAAAAATGGCTTTCTACAGACTGTTTCTGCGGCAATGTGGAGAACCAGAGTGCCAGATGATGCAGCTCCTCAGGGAAATGGGGAAGCGGTTCCGGAGGTGGTGACCAATAAAGGATCTGAAGTGCCTTTCCATGTTCAGGATAAGCCTCCAGAGCAGGTCACCATTCCTAAAGCTGAGAAAAGAGAAGAACCTGCACCTGATAAGAAGGCTGAAGCAGCTGAGAAAAGAGAAGAACCTGTGCCTGATCAGAAGGCTGAACCAGCTGAGAAACCTAAGAAGAAGTTTCCAGCTCCAGAAATGAAGAGGGTTGGCAGTGCTGGTCTTCGGGTTAGCTCTGTTTTGCAAACTAGAACTGGCAATATCAAGGAGTTCTATACCATGGGGAAGAAACTAGGACAAGGGCAGTTTGGAACCACGTTTCTGTGCCTGGAGAAAACTACAGGGAACAAATTTGCTTGTAAATCGATTGCGAAAAGGAAGTTGTTGACCGATGATGATGTGGAGGATGTGAGAAGGGAGATCCAGATCATGCATCATTTGGCTGGCCATCCAAATGTTATATCCATTAAGGGGGCTTATGAGGATGCGGTGGCGGTTCATGTTGTTATGGAGCTATGCGCTGGGGGGGAACTCTTTGATCGGATTGTCCAACGCGGGCACTACTCGGAAAGAAAAGCTGCACAGCTTACTAGGACAATAGTTGGAGTTGTTGAAGCTTGCCATTCACTTGGTGTGATGCATCGTGACCTTAAGCCGGAGAATTTTCTCTTTGTGAACCAACAAGAGGATTCATTGTTGAAAACAATTGATTTTGGATTATCAATCTTCTTCAAGCCAGGTATACCCTTTGTTTCTAAGCAGTTTAGCTGTTTAAGTTGTTCGTTCATTTATGGTAGTTGTTTGTGAATTAGCATATTTGGTCATGATCAAGCTAAACACGTTGACTTCAAATTTTCTACAAGAATGGTGTTCCTGGTCATTGTGACTATCGTTTGATCGTTATTTGCCTTCTGCCGTCTTGCACAGTTGCACTTGACACATTACCTTATTTTCCATACTTCCTATGAGAGATATCCTGCAGAGATGTTATCATTTGAAGTCTGTATCGATAACAGATGCTTTGCTCTTTATCAACTATATAACGGTCAGTTAGATGCATGCTTAACAAGCATTTCAGAAAGCTAACTCAGTGTTTTTAATTTACATTGTCATGCAGTTTGTCTTGTAGGATTGCCAAAGCCTGTTTGTGTCTGTGTGATCTCAAGGCACCTGAACTATGTATTATGTATAACTGGATTTGTCTCTTTTTAGGGGTTAGTTTAGAACCTTGAATTGTTGAAATGGTGTATTCCAAGAATTAATGCATTAAGTGTATATAATAAAAAAAAGGATCTGTGCATTTAAGACTATTTGAAACCATGGATACAAAATCTCACCAAACTGGTGAGGTTCATAATACATAATTTCTTGTGTGGAAGAATAATAATCATGTATTATCGATACATGCATTCTGTGTCCAAATTAAGCCAAAAAGTTATGTATTCCACAGTATACGAGCATTCTTAGAATATATGGTCATTTCTGTTTTCATTTCACTGCACAAACTTTGTACTAAAACTGTGTTAATATACTCAAAAGAATCCAAGACAAAGCAGCTTGCTATGCTTGCTTCTTGCTCTTGTCAAGTGTGTCTGTCTGACCTTAAGGAACATGATTAATGATATTCTGAATCATACCCGTCTCCTGAAGGCTTCTTACAATGTTCAGCCTAACCTGTCTTGCACTGACCTTTTTGTTCTTTTGCTATTATTTCAGGGGAAAGGTATTCTGATGTAGTTGGCAGTCCTTATTATGTTGCTCCAGAGGTTTTGAAAAAGCGTTATGGGGCAGAAGCTGATGTTTGGAGTGCCGGAGTGATTCTCTACATTCTATTAAGTGGAGTGCCACCCTTCTGGGCAGGTGCTGTTCCTGTTATATACTATAAAATGAGACATACACAAGATTCCAATCCAATTGCACTAAACCATTTTGTTTTTCATTTTCCCTTTCTATGCATATTCAGAGACCGAGCAGGGAATATTTGAGCAGGTTCTCCAGGGTGAGCTTGACTTTGAAACAGAACCTTGGCCTAACATCTCCGAGAGTGCTAAGGATTTGGTTAAGAAAATGCTTCTTCGAGACCCCAGAAGGAGACTAACTGCTCATGAAGTCCTGTGTGAGTGTTGCTGATCATTGTGGCCTTTAAAGTTTCAAGTTAAACAAAGTAAAGTTGGAAACATATTTGTTTGAAAATTAGAGATTCATCAATTTAACTTAACATGGGATTTTGGTTTGCTCTTGTCGTGGAAGTTTCCATTATACCCTTCTTCACTTAATGCCATTATTCTTGCTTTTGTGGTTACCAATCTGTATCGTTAATAACCAATCTGTACGCAATCCTCACAAACTGTCGTCTTTGCAGGCCATCCATGGGTACAAGAAGATGGTGTAGCTCCTGACAAACCTCTTGATTCTGCTGTCCTAAGTCGTCTGAAGCAATTCTCAGCTATGAACAAACTCAAGAAAATGGCTCTTATAGTGAGTCCTCTGCAAGAATCTAGATATGATATAAACAGAAGAACATGATTTGTAGTGTTAATAACTAAACATTCTTCATAATGTATGATATTAAACTTTGCTTTTGAAATGGAAAGAAAGCAATTGTTTCACATGCTACCTCTCTGATAAAATCCAAGATTTTTACTAATAATATGTTCTTCGCTGGCAGATCATTGCGGAGAGTCTATCAGAAGAGGAAATTGCTGGGCTTAAGGAGATGTTCAAGATGATTGACGCTGATGGCAGTGGTCAGATCACTTTTGAAGAACTTAAGGCTGGATTGAAAAGAGTTGGGGCTAACCTCAAGGAATCAGAAATCTACGATCTAATGCAAGCAGTAAGTACTAATACACACAGACAAGAACAACACTAGGCAGACTTTTACAACTTGTTCCACTCATCTGACATAGATCATATGCTGTTTGACGGGCAAGCTGGTTGCTGGAAACTACGAAACAGCAGTGACGAATGATGTTTATACGAATCAAATTTTGATTGGCATGTCTACTTTTGCTGCCGTCTCATCATTTTTCTTTCTGTCGTATGATCACTGCAGGCGGATATAGACAACAGCGGCACCATTGATTATGCAGAGTTTATTGCTGCAACACTGCATCTGAACAAAATCGAGAAAGAGGATCACCTCTTTGCAGCTTTCTCATACTTTGACAAGGATGGAAGTGGTTACATCACTCAAGATGAGCTTCAACAAGCTTGCGAGGAGTTTGGCCTACAAGATGTTCGCTTAGAAGAGATGATCAAAGAAGCTGATCAGGACAATGTAAGGACCCCCTCTTAGTTAGCTTCCCCTGCTACTCCTCTCTTCTCCAACTCGACCGAGAAAATGAAACATCAGGTCTAACCGATGCACTGAATTTCTGTAGGATGGGCGCATAGATTACAACGAGTTTGTCGCGATGATGCAAAAGGGAACTGTAGCAGCAACCCCAGGAAGGAAGGGACTAGAGACTAGCTTCAGCATGGCGTTCAAAGATGCGCGGAAACTCAACACCAGCCAGCAGTAAGTGTTTGTTTGCTTCTCTGTTTGTGTGTTTTTTGGTTCTTTCCCCCCTCGCCGTCTGAAGAACCAGGGTTGTAGTAGTGTGTATAGTGAGTGAGAAGGCGGCTATGCCACTCTCAACCGAGACGCCAGCAAACATTGTCGGATCGTATATCGAACTGGGTTTGGACCTGCAAAAAATGAGGTTCCTTTTGTTGGTTCTTTTCATTATCAAATGTAAAACTGCGCCATCCCATGGCTTCTTTATGTTTGTGACAATGTCGAGTAGAAGAACTGTAGCTATATTTTTTGAGTTAATATTATCATCATCATTATAGTTCATTTGGACCATTTTTTTTTGGCAGTGTTCTCCTGAATCCTTATCTCCTTTTACCAATGATTATTTGTATGGCTTCGTATTATTGAGCAGTGCAGTGGAGTTCCTACAATTTTTTTTAGTAAAAATACGTGAACAAGAACTTGATCTAGCGGTATCATTCTTTGTTTTCAACTTAGAAGTCTCTAATTGAAATCTCGGTGGAGTTTCCCTTTCTCTCGCCTTCGATTGCGATGCAACGTCATTGATTTGAATTGATCCAACCAACTACAAATCGCTGTTGATCTGGTTTCATGTTTATCACTAAATATTTTTCAATACATTAGTAATCACTCATCACTGACTTTACATTTTTCGTTTTACCGCTTGAACAGTTCCATCCAATGCCATTGTTTTTGTTCAGTGCCAATCTAACTCTTACATTTGATCGATAAATTTGTGACTTATCAACTAAAAGATCAATGAAAATAGAATTCAATTAATTTTGTTTTGTACTACTCAATCGACCATATCCATTTTCCACCACGTTTCATAAAGTTGTGACAAAATCGATTTCCCACGGGTTGAAAAATACCAGCGGCGGACTCTCAAAACCAGCAGCACAAAAGCTCTGCGCGCAGCCATGGTTTCCCCAAAACTTGAGGCGACTCCGTGTCTCCGTCCCTGCCTCTATTAATAAGAACCCATCTCCGTCTTCTCTTCATCAAACTCTTACAACATCTCACCATCAACAAAATTCAGCAAGACCCTCGAATTTCCCAGGTTGTGTTCGGAAAGCAAGAAAACAGAGACAAGGCCAAAAAGAAAGGAAGAAGAAGAAGAAGGATGAGTTCCAGCAGCAGCAAGGCTTGGGCTGTGGCAGCCAGCATCGGAGCGGTGGAAGCACTGAAGGATCAATTGGGCTTCTGCAGGTGGAATTACGTCATTCGATCCGCCCAACAGTACGCCAGAAACAACGTTAGAGCAATCTCTTCCAAGTCCCCTGCCGCTGCAATGGTTGTTGAGAGATTGAAGGAAGCTGAAAAGGCAGGACGGGCTGAAGAGTCTTTGAGGAAAGTCATGTACTTGAGCTGTTGGGGTCCTAATTAATGGATTCAGGGCGCTTGCAGATTGTAACCAAGCTAGCTCTTCTTGCTTTGCAACGTGAAATAGATCGAGTTGCAGACAGTTTGTAAATACTATAGCAGGGGAAGAAATTTGGGAATGGAAATGAAATCGCTTCTTGACAGTTAAATGGATTTCTGTGTTCTACTTTATGGTTCTGTGTGTTCTCATTCATGCATCCAGTTCCTCCTCCGTTAACTCTTTTATCCCATACTTTTTCACTCTTCCCCTGTTATCTCTGGCTCCTTCCTCTGCAGCCATGGCTTTCCGGCCAAGACCCATGCAAGGTGAAGGAAGTTCTCTTGCTTGTGTGATAAATTCTCATTTAAAGGAGAGCTGCCATGTGTATGTGGAGATAACCAAAAGGAAAACTGGAAGCTGTAAAGATTGGAACTTTCCTTACTAGATTCCGACTGCTGCTGTTCCAGCTGCTCATTTAAAGAATATTGATGTCAATAATTCGAGTTGTTAGAGTTGTTAGATTAGATTCAATTGTCACTATTCCATTTTATTTAGACCTCATACAAATAACACATACCAATTTGCTTTCATTGAATAGTCGAATTGTTAGATGAGGTTCAATTGTCACTGTACCATTCAGTTTAGACCACATACAAAGAACACTATCAATTAGGGATGACAACCAAACCCGAACCCACGGGTACCCACCCGACCCAACCTGGTCAACGCGGGTAAAATCCGTGTTGACGGGTTTTGGGTCGGGTTTGGGTTTAAACCCGTTCACTATTCACCGGGTTAGGTTGGGTTTGGGTTTAGGTAAACCCGACCCGTGGGTACCCGCCCACACATACACTTAATTTTCTCGGTATATTTAATATTTTAAACAACTAATCTTATTTATGTTTGTGGAGACATGTCTAATTTTTTCTTTCTAATTGTGTAGAATGAAGTTTGTGTTATCGAGTGGAGAATGAAGAAACTTAATTGAAAGGAAGAAGCCTTCAATTAATATGCTATTTATGGATAATTTATGATTTACTTCAATTTTCTTGAGTTTTCTAGATTGGTGTTGAACAATTTGTATAGTTAATTTGTGATTTGCTTGAATTTTCTAGAATGGTGTTTTAAATATGGATAATTTGTATTGAGAGATTGATATTTGACTTTAATTTTGATAGGAACATGTTATTGTAAATTTTTTACGACAAAAACCCGTGGGTACCCATGAACCCGCGGATACCCAGCGGGTTGGGTTTGAGTTTTTTAAACCCAGTGGGTTTTTCCCCAGGTTTTTTTCACGGATAAACCCATGGGTTTGGGTTTGGCAAAACCCGACCCAACCCGACCCATTGCCATCCCTACTACCAATTTGCTATAAAGTACTCAACTTGTTTATAGTTGATTACTGAACGATAAACAATTAATATTTTCGGTTCAATATTTGGTTTGATTTTCAAGAGAGAGTCACTAAGCAAATAAATTTGGATACGGATGACAATGGGTAAGGTTCTGCCAAATTCAAACTCAATCCAGCGGGTATATCCACAAAAAAAATCCACGTAAAAATTCATGGGTGTTGGAACCTCAAACCCAATCTAACCCATTGGGTATGCCGAGATTCACGGATATCCGTGGATTCTGTTAGACAGAAAGTCATACACAGTAATGTTTTGTCAAAATAAAAGTCTAACACCTATCCGTGCATACAAATGATTCGTACAAAAAAACACCAATATAGTATATACAAACAAATCCACAAATTATCCATACAAATTGATCAATTTTCAAGATAAACATCCACGAACACCACCGTTAATTAACAGGTTATGAGAGTATGAGTGTGGACGGATATCCATGGATCAGATATACTTATAAAGTCGTAGCCATCAACTGAATATAACTTGACATTAACCAGGTTGAATTGAGGGTACTGGTAGATTCGGGTTTTGTTGTCATCCTTAAAACCGTTCAGTAGGTTACTACAAACCCAAATAAAGACAGGAATGATTTGGGTTGGGCTTCGATAGGCGTGTGGCGGTTGGACTGGAACTTCCGGGCTTGAATGGACTTGGGCCTGTTACGAGGATCCATCATCCCATAGTTTGAACTTGCTTCCTTTCCCATTTGACTTTGACCGGGATCTGATTCGACTGTCACCATAAGAAACACAACGACCCGTCACTTTAAATTAACTCTTCAACGGTGAGAGGATCTCGTTCTCGTCTCTGAAATTTCCGGTCTTCTCTCTCATCTTTGTTGTGCTCGGCGTCACATTAAAACCCTAATTGCGCGTATTTCGTTTTCGTAGGCCTTTTCCCCCCCTTTTCTTCTCTAGGGATTCGTTTTCGCGCTCTTCGTTTCTTCTGCGCCCCAACGTAAGCCCTAGCCAAGCAGCGAGTTTCCAATCCCCCATGGCGGCGCCGGCGGGCCGAGACCGGAAAGAGAACCAGCCGTACGACGACGGAGGGGGATACGGCAAGTTCAGGAAGCGTCCATTACGCCGGAGTCAGGCGGCCACTCCATACGATCGCCCTTCAACCGCAATTCGCAACTCTGGCCTCCAAACCTCCAACGGCAGCGGCAATGGCTGGTTTTCGAAACTGGTGGATCCGGCGCAGAGGCTCATTGCCTCCGGTGCTCATAGGCTTTTTGCATCTCTCCTCCGCAAGCGCCTTCCTCCTCCTCCACCGACGCAGCCGCCGGAGCCAGGTGGAATTCTTTGATTAGTCTTTGGCGAAGTCCTGCCCTGCCCTTTTTTTTTTCTCCTGTTGCGTTGGATGAACGAGAGATTTTTTATTTTGTTGTTGCAATTTTGGAGATTGTCTCTGGATTTGAGAGCCCTGCCATAAGAATATGGAGCAATTGGATTTGAGAGTCATCATTTCAGCGAAAGGTTTTGAATGTAGTTGCCATTTTCTTGTGTCCGGAGTCTCTTTTTTCCTCTGTGGGGGCATTGTTGTTCACCTCTGAAAATTAATTTTTTCTTCATCTAGATTTTTATGGGACTGGTCTTAACTTCGACTAATTTTGGGTTCCTCTTCAATTGATTTTTAAACCCTCATATTATTGATGTGCTGTTGTGCTTCCTATGAATACAGATAGGCGGGTTTACTGAACTTATATGCTCCGAAATTGGTTTGTTCATTATTCTGACTGGGTCTATTTCACAGAAGCAGAGCGGTTCTTGAAGCAGAAGCGACTGGAAGCAATTTCCAAGGGCAAGCAAGTCGAAACAGTACCCATGGTAAAAAAATCCGACTAGTTCTTGTACATTGCAGCATTTATGTTATTGTTTTAAATTCCTTATCTCTGAGACACGTAACCTTCCCGGAAAGTTATGCTATCTATTTGAAAGTTGCAATCTTTATGAAGCTTAAGCTGTATGTCATTGGTTAATTCAACTTATAAATATATATTACCTATTTACAGTGAATGAGTTGGTCCTCAACTTTTTCTAGCTTGTAAGCTTCCCATGTTCATAAAGTTGTAAGAACTAAGAAGGGGTATGGCAAACTGATTTCATATTTCTAGCTTAGCTCCTTAGATCTACATCGCATTAGTCACTGGAGCATGTTTGGAAACCATTTTTCTGATTAGGAATTTGTATTCTTGCTATGGTTTGGTGGATTGTATTGTTTGATGTGCCACTCGGTTGCCCTCTCGCAAAGGGGTAAATCTGCTTTCATTTCGAGAATACAAGTAAACTTGGACTGGCAGTTGCTTACTGTATGTCTATGTGCCAAAGTTGTGTAATTAAATTTCACGGGCGTTGTTTTGTATGTCTCACTCTAATAAATGTTTTAGGAATTAGATCTTGGAATGTAGAATTGTTCATTTTTGCCAGTTTCTTCTCCTGAGAATCACTTCGTGCATCGTGAACATTTGGGAAACTATTTGACAGATTTACTATTGTTCTTTTTGCCAGCTTTCCTCGAAGGCCCCTGTATACTCACAGGGAGAACCTAGCCATATGCATGAACGCCCTAGTAGTTCAGTGGGTGGTGCAGTTACTGATTTGGAGTCGATGCTGCAGCAGAAAAAATTTACCAGGTTAGTAAAATTTATCTTATCCAACTGGGTATATGAAGTTTCTTTGAATTGGCAGCTCTACAGTAGTACACGTAGCTCTGGCATTGATGGTTTAATGTTTAGTCTAATTGGCGAGGCGGAAGTGTGCTTGTGTTGGAGCATTGATAGAACGGAGAATTCAGATCTCCTGTGATTACAATGTCTCCGTGTACTATATGAATGATTAGATGATATTCTAATCAATGTACAAACACTTATCGTTTGGGTTTTTATATGTACAAGCACTGATCCATGTCATGAAGGCTGGAAGTAGCTGAAGGTTCCGTCTGAATACTGGAATCAATATAGTGCAATTTCTATTGACAGAAAATGGGTGGCCTCAGTTAAAAATACATATACACTTTTGGACGAATGTGAAATAGGCCCGCATAAATGCCTGGGGTTGCGGTTGAAGAACGGAAAGCATGGAGCTGGGCGTTTCTGTACTTGTTGCAGACTTAGTCATAGCTTTTGGTCTGATTTGCTGATTCCCAATTCTTCTTTTCTGTAAAGTTGAACTTTAATAGATTAATTTAGCAATTGTTTCTTATAGTTCTGTACTGGGTCTTTGTCTTCAAATTATGCCAACCCCTCTCCATGGTGCGGTCAGCTCTTTCCCCTAGATTTTGGAACAAATCTGGAAAGAATAATTCCATAATTTGATTTGATACCCTTTGCATTTCGTGCTGGGCATGTTCTGAATTGGGCTGGGACATTTGATGCCCATTGCATTATTGTTAATGATTGTTCGTATAAAATACACTAAACTCTCTCTAGCGTCAGGGTGTGTTTTGGTCCAGCATTGCAGCAATGTTGATGATTGTTGGTCTTCTGCAGGAATGAGATTGATCGATTGACTGCTCTCCTGCAGTCAAGGGTTGTTGACTTGCCTGTGGAAAATGAGAAGTCTGAACTTGTTCCTCCAAATTCATTTCTTTTGCGTGACAAGCAGTTTCCCGGTACTCCAGTTAAAGACAATGGGATTGGGAACCACCTCAACTCCACCCCACATGTAAGCTTTAAGTGTGGACTACATGTGATGCCTTTTGTTTTGCTTAACATAATTGTATAAAATGTTGTATGGCTGAATGTATAGAATGCTTGTGTCAGAAGCATGCATGTAAACTCCTTGCCCAGTATAAGAGTGTATGTTCACATATTCAAGTATGCGTAGAGTATTCAGTGGATGAGTTTATTGGTGAAATATTTGGTTTGTGTTTTATATTTGGATAGGTTGCAAGTTGTCACTTGTGTATTATACACTTAATTGTTTCAGCATGATCTTTTTTTCACATTTAATGGATAAAAAATTTCTTCAGGTCCTCGATCAAGATGTTGCTTCACCTGCAGAGCTTGCAAAAGCTTACATGGGCAGCAGGCCTTCAAAAGTATCTCCGTCAATGTTAAATTTGACCAATCAACCTTGGAAGGATGATTCAGCTCCGCAGGTCAGTCAGATCTTCCGGCCGAAAGGGCCAACCACACCAACCACTTACAGGTCTTCTGGCAAAGTTGGATTGATAGAGAATGGTTTCATGACACCAAGATCTCGAGGCAGATCGGCTATTTACAGCATGGCTAGAACACCATATGCTAGAACACAGTCAATCCAGGTATGGCATTGAATGCACTTGCTTAAATGTACCTGCTTTGATATCTCAATCTCCTTTTGACATTTGTTGTTCTGCGGATCTTAGGGAGCTGGGACTTCAATTGATGCTTTTGGTGGGCAAGGGTCTTCATATCAAGGTGTAATGGAGAATGACAGATTTTCTGGGTCCAGACAAGGGGTATAACTGCTACATTTAGTTTTATCAATACTTTATATTTATTCATGATACAATTATGATTTATCTATTTGGCACAGACTTTAAAAAGGAGGAATTCTGTCCTGGAGAGCGATATTGGGTCTGCTAGTTCTATACGTAGAATTCGTCAGAAGTCAAATCTAATGTCTGCCGGAGCTCTCTCAGTTCGTGGAACTCGTTTAAAACCAGACCAAGAGGGACACCTGGCCCTGACCTCAAAGACTGTTACCAAAGATGAACCTTCCAAGGAAAATGGTGATCACAGCATTCAGAATTCAGGATTCCCCCCCGTCTCTTCTAAATCAAGTGATATGGCTTCAAAGATACTCCAGCAACTAGATGTGTTGGTCTCATCAAGGGAAAAATCACCAGCTAAGTTGTCGCCATCCATGCTACGCGGGCAAGCACTTAGAAGCCTAGAGAAAATAGATTCTTCAAAGTTTTTGGAGACTGCTCAGAATAGTACTCTGAGCAATGCAAGGAATGGTAGTGTGTTAGATGCTGAACGGTCTATACCTGAAAAGGAGGACAAAATTGAACAAAATGGTCCAAACACGGTAGACATTGATGGTGGCAATTTGGTTGCAAGCAAAATTGTGGAGAAACCCAACTCATTTGATACTGGAGTGGTCAGTGCAGGAATAAACTTTTCTGCTCACCCTGCTCATAAAAAAAAGCCGGGTTTCCGTATGAGTGCGGATGAGGTTTGTTTATGGCTCTAGAATTTCATTTCTTACTACTACTGCTGATCTTTGTACTGTCTGTTGCACTTATGTCATCATTCTTCTACGTTTTGTCCTTGCTAATCTTTTCAAGATGAGTGGGAAAATCATAAATAGTATTCTCGGAAATGTTTTGTATGTCGTTTTTCATCTTATTTGCATCTGCACATGAACTGAATAGTTGGAGATACATCGTAGTGGTTTAGTTTTAGCTGCTCTTGATGTCCAACTACATGAGATGGTAGTAGCATCAATTTGTATATATTAAGATTTAATGTTACAGTCTTACAGTGCTTGTGTTTGTGGTATCATGCAGGATTTCCTGGATATTGATGATGATGACAGTGCTGGGAATACTTCTTCGTTGTGGGGGACGGGTGATATGAAGCTTATTTCTAGCTCTGATGAGAATAAAGCTGTCGAAGCCGCTGTGGTGGACAAGACTCCAGCTCTTTTGGGAGAAAATCCCTTGCCAAGTTCTACACTGATCAAGAAAGACACTGCAACTCATAATGGGCCAACAAGTGTAGGAACTAGCAATACTTTTGCATTTGCAGCACCTTCATCCACAGAGGCTGTGAAGCAGGCTGCCGTCCCAAGTCAATCAGCTGCTGTTTCTGATAACGCTGCCATTGGAATATTTAGCTCTGGGGGGAACACTTCATTGCAAACTGAATTAAACGGTGCCACTGGGAAAGTTTCGCTGTTTTCTTCTGTGTCTCCTTTGACTGCTGCGAACAATGGATTCAGCAACAAATTTGGTGCTTCTTCAGCCTCCCAATCGGTTAGCTCACAGAGGTAACATATACGTTTACTGTTAGTTTTATGATGAAGGCAGTATGTCCTCGTATCTGAAATTGCGTTATCTGTAGTTTGTTTGATTGGAGTGGCATGATTCTGTGTTTCGGGTTTATGTGATCATTGGCTCATTGCATTTCACGGTACTTTAGGTTTATGTCAATTTTTCATCATCTGTTTTGATGCATTTGATGCAAGCTACATATTTCTGTGAAAATTGGATAAGGCAAAACATAAATTTTCAATGGGATTAGTTATTGCAAGAATGTCTGTACCTCTTATTGAGAATGAGTTCGAAGATAAGTATTGTTCTCTTCTTCAATTTGAAGTTGGTAATGAATGTGCAATCTGCAGTGTTGATTCACCTTTGTACAGTCTAGAAGATGTTGTAGAACCTGGTTTGCTTGGATGTTTCAGCACTGGTAGTGGATTGGGTTTTAGACGATCAGCTGGCCGATTAGATGAGTTTATTGCCCCTTTTGCAGTATCTGAACCATATATAGAATTTGCTGTACTCTTCTCATATAACTCCTGAATTACATGAATATTTTGGGTCCACTATTTATGTTCTCATTGATTTAGGTCTTCCTTCTCTAGCTTGTATAGATCAGCTGTATGGAGAGAATAAATGGCTAGTTTCATGCCACGTCTCTTTTTATTTATATATATAAAGCTCTGGATCATTTCATTATTGAATAACTTGGTTCTGGGTATTCAATGTGTGATTAATGTCTAATCATTTCAAAGTCCAACTCCTTGAGTGTGTTGTTTCAGCTGTTCAATTCATTGATGATCTTCAGTTACATCCTACTTTTCAAACGGTGCAGGGTCTTACCTGTAGCTGCTCTAGCTGATCCTGTGGCAAAACAACCTGATGTAGATAACGATGCAGACACAAATAAAGCTGGTGTGTCTTTCAATACGAGCGGAACTCCACTTTCATCTGTCTTGGCTTCGTCGCCAGCGGTAGGCATGTTCTCGTTTGGGTCAGGTCTACAAAATGGAACTCTCCCAGGTTCATCAACTGGTCTTAATACATCCAGTAGCTCCCTTTCGGCCGTTCCTAATGGCAGCATTGGCACAGACATATCTGTGAATGCTGTGAACTCTGGTAGTACTGGCAATTCAGCATCAGAGGCAAACCCACCCTTGAGTTCGTCTATTTTCAAATTTGGGTCACCTGCCACTTCAAGTTCAGTTTCTTTTGCTAGCGCTGGTGGTGGCATTGGTCGAAGCAAAACAGAGACTAGCTATGGGAGTATTGCCGGTGTTCCTTTTGGTGATTCTAAGCCTGCCGTTGCCAGCACTGGAAGTGGCCTTTTTGGTGTTGCCCCGTCCATAGTTGCTGGGAGTACTACAAGCAGCAGCCCTTCTAATGATATTTCAGCTACCTCCGCCAAAAGTACCTTAGTTAGTAGTCCATTTGGCGGCCCAAGCGCAAACGCTGGAAGCACCCTTGTTGGTGGTACTGCTGCTTCTGGTGCAGTTACCAGCAACGGCTCTCTTGGTGACACTACTCCTACAGGTAAAAGCCCAGGAAGCAGCATTTTCGGTACTGCTACCAGTGCCAGCACTGGGAATAGCCTCTTTAGTGCAGTAGCTCCGAGTACAACTGGAAGCAGCTTTTTTAGTTTCAGTTCCAAGTCAACTTCACCAGGCCCTGCTAGTGAGGCCCAAGTTTTGAATAATCCAGGTAGCACTCAGGTAGCTGCAACTGGCTTTGCTACATCAACCCAGAGTACTCCTAGTCAGTTCGGTTCTTCCATGTCGTCTCCTTTTGGGTTGAATTCAACTACAGCTCCTGCTGCTGCCGCTGCCGCTGCTGGTAGTTCGATTTTTGGTTCGTCATCAATATCTAATCCATTCAGTTCTGGAACTTCTTTTGGAGCGACTTCTTCCACTCAGTCTTCAGAACCAAATAAGTCTGTTAGCTCGAGTTCGAGCACTTCATCTCCGCTTTTTGGTTCGAGCTGGTCAACAACACCTGTATTTGGTAGTGGGTCCAGCTCATCAGCTTCATCGAGCGGGTTTGTCTTTGGAGCATCGTCGTCGAGTGGTGCTTCTATTGGTGGTGCTACTGCATTTGGATCGTCCAATAATGCTACATCATCTAGCTCCCCGTTCTCTTTTAGTGCGCCTGCAGCAAATCCTCCACCTACTACAACTGTGTTTGGTAACCCTACTATAACTCCATCCTTTGCATTTGCTTCAACTCCATCATTCGGCTCAACTCAACCATCGGTTAACAATGATCAAATGGGGATGGAGGACAGCATGGCAGAAGACTCAGTCCAGGCAACCACACCATCTATCCCCTTGTTCGGTCAGCAGACTACCACACCCCCATCGTCAGGCTTTATATTTGGTTCTGCAGCACCGCCAACCAGTGGAAATCCTCTTTTCGGTTCTACTGCTCCTCCATCTGCAGGAAACCCTCTGTTTGGTTCTACTGCAGCGGGAACCCCCCAGTTTGGTTCTACTGCTCCAGGAACCCCTCAGTTTGGTTCTGCAGCAGCATCCCCTGGGATCCCGTTTCAATTCGGTGGTCAACCGAGTATGTCAGCAGCTCCACAAGCTGCTTCTCCATTTCAGGCCACTAACAGTCTGGAGTGTGCAGGCAGCTTCTCATTAGGGACCGGTGACAAGAGCAACAGGAGAATCGTCAAAGTGAGGAAAAGCTCGCGGAAGAAGTGATTGTTGATGTTCTCTTATCACCGTCATTGGCAGGCACTTGAGTTCGCTCGGTTTCATTGCTCGCGATTACGTCAGAAGTCCCCAAAATTGTTCATCCTGGAGTTGGCTGTGCTAGTAAAGTAATTATAGTTCCTGGAAGTGTTAGCTATGAGCCAGAGTTGCCAGTTCCGGTCGGGTTTTCAAAGGCTATTCCAAAATCGACCCTCGTGAAAGCAGAAGTTACATAAGGCGAGGTCGAATCAAAAGCGTGGGAAAGAGGAGTTTGTGACAAATTTTGTGACATACTTAATAGCATATAGGCGTCTTGTGGTTGTGTACTATGTGGTGAAGGTAGATAAATTTTGGTGCGCATCAAAATGGATGTCATTATGTGTACCTTTTTCGCGCGCCGTGTAACGTAAAAGACGATTTCTTCCATAAAATGAAGTGTAAGACCATTCGCTCCGTAAATGAAAGTGCTCATAGTTATTCATGCTTCTTCATTCCATGAGTAATCTACAATCCGATTCAGAAGTGATTGACCCAATCAATCTGGTTGTTGATTGACCAACCTTATAACCGACCGGTTTAAAAGAAAAGGGTTTAACCGACCATCGTTTTGTTGTAATGGTCGGCTTGTGATTTAACCCGAAGATTGATATAAGCTCTCGACGGGACGGCGAGTATGGAGTTTCATTGAGAGGAGTGATGTCTGGAGTATGGAGGAAGCTGTCGAGTGACTGTAGAGCTGCGCAGCCATGGCGAACAATCACTTCCCGTTCATCTTCCTCCTCAGCCAATATATCGGCTGCCGTCGACTCCATGTTGCTCCGCTCCCTCAAGGAGCACTACCTCGACGTCTCCAAGATGAACCCTCCGCCGGTAAACAACGAAATCCCTAATCTTTCGTCTCCCCTTTTTTTAGATTTCGCCTAAATTGAATATGGTCGTTGTCGTTGTTGCAGAAAGTGAGCCCTCCGTCGGGCTTCACAGTGCTGAAGGGGGCGCTGGATGGGAGTAACGGCCCTGTCCTCAGTCGGAGTTACGGCGACGAAGAAATCAGTGTATCTGTAATGAGGTTGTCCAACATAGTGCCCGGAGGCGGCGGTGACGGCGATGGCGAGGAAGAGGATGATATCAATCAGCTGTTTCTTCATGTGGATGTCTCCAAACCTGACCAGCACAAGTCTCTGAATTTCCTCTGCGGACTGTATCCTGATGCCCTGGGTATTCACTCTGTTTCGTTGAGGCCCAAGCTTGAAGCTTCTGGCTTTTTTGAGCTTCCATCCACGTACAATGGCCCGGTTTTCGGGTGAGTTTTCCTCTTGTGTATCTAGAAGGTTTGCATCTTGTGCTTGAGCTAGTGTGATTAGTATAGAGAGGTGGAGAACTCGTCGTGAGTAGGGATGCTTGAGCTCACAGAAAGTTTTCTTGATTCTCAATTGACTTTGAACATGCTTTTTTTTAGATCGGACATTGTTTCTGGTGCAGTGATCTGTTTGAGGTTTTTCATATTCATGGTGGTCTGTTCTGGTGAATCCTAAACTGACATTTTTATGATTGTTGGTGTCTGCTGCTAATTTGCTTCCACTCTAAGTAATCCAATCTTCTTTTTGTCATCGTCATCGTGGTGGGATTTGCTTTCGTTGTTGAATTATTCGTCATGTTCAACTGTTTGCAGGGACCTGGATCAGAAGATGAGAGATGCATTCCACGACTACATCGACGAGCGAGGGGTGAACGAAGATCTATTCGCTTTTCTTCAAGCCTGGTTGTATGTGAAGGATCATAGGAATTTGCTGCGTTGGTTCAAGACAGTGGGTTCGCACATTAAGGAAAAATCGGTTACAGAAGATACATAGGCGCTGGAATTAGCATGCAGCAGGTTTAGTTAAAAACATAAATGAGTGAGTGAGTGGTTGATTTACTGATGAGTACTGCTCCCAGTTAGTATCTTTTTGGAACTGCTCTTCTTGTATACGGCGACATTGATCTTCTAGTAGGCCTAGAATCGGAACTGGTGTTCAACTTACACATCTTTTTTTCCAGAAAGAACACACTTGACTACATTGCAGTTTCGTGTTCCGAACACCATTCTGCTGCCTCGCAGTTTCATCCTTCTCTCTTTCCGGCATTAGCTTGATTAGACAAGACAATGACGCAATTGCTCTTGCTGGGAGTAGTTGAGTTTACCATGTTCGTTTACCAGAATCCAGCAGGATTGAACTATTTATCATATAATTGGTAAGATATCAATGTAGAAGTCTCCCAGACATTATTTTTTTCTTGTTCCAATAGGAAACAAACAACATTCTATTCACTTTGTATGGAATTTTTCTGCTCCAGCCTCATACTCTTTATTAGGTATCTTTCCTCATTGTGCCTGGTTATCCTCCCAAACTGATTTTCGTGGCAGTCAGCCACGATTATTACAGAATGTTGTTTCGATCATAAAATCACACGAAGCTGAAACTGAAACATATCTGGCTTCAGAAGCCAGAGAAATTGCAGTACATCAACATGACACTACATAAACAGCTTATTGCCACCCTGCCACCTAATAACATCAATGGTGGTGGTGATGGAACAACAAGAAGTGGGGCATTTGTGGACACCAAGCTGCTGCACCAATCTCCAAGTTAGTCACAGTGGCTTGGACGTGCACCACGAGTCAGCGAGACCAAGCTTTTCTACGTCATTTCCAAATAATTTCTAGTGTTTTTGTGCTTTAGCAAGGTGCAAACAGAAAACTGCTAAACTCCAGAGTTGGCGGTCTCCCAAGATGCTAATGTTACTGTCCCTGGTAAAGGGTTGCTGCTAGCCTGCTACTGCTGGTGATGATTTTCGACCCGGATGCAATCAGACCCTCGTTTATTTGACTCTGCAACACAATGATGACGTTATTGCTTATAGTTGATTCCGAGCATAAGAAAATGCCAACAGAAGCTGGTGCAAAGCAGTACTTGTATCCAACTCTCTTCAAAACATACAGCATATTCGAGTAAAGATGTGCAGCAACTACCATTGCCAGGTAACCGTTGGTCTGTGAACGATAATTAGAAAAAGAGTTGGTTCAACGGATGGTCACCTTTCGATGATAAGTCAGAGCTACCAACACAAAGTAAGCCTTTTTGTTGCATCAGTCAGACAGTCACATGAAATCACCTGCAAGTGTCAGTTTGAAATTTAGGAAGCTTGCAAAGAGCAGCAGCATAAAGCAAGGGTTCTGGACTGGAATTGACACCGGGCAATTATCAGAATGAGTGATTTCCTGCGGAGGGAACTAAGAGAAGTGATTTCAATCGGGTAAACATAATTTCATAAGATTAATCAAGAAAACAATAAATGTCAAACAGAACTGCTAAGTAGTACCTGTACTTGACAACACACGAAAATCTTCAGTGTTCCAACATTTTCATCTATTTCTTTAAAAGGCAGTTTACCAGTGCCATTTGGTTCCGTGATCTGGGAACTTGACCATAAGGATCAAATGGTTTTTCTTCATTGAATAGCAATTCCTTCATCACTACGAGATTGCAATGCGTGGCCCTCCTGCTGGAACACCCCCATCCTAGTTTGTTCATTAGCTTCAACATCAGTACGTCCCTCTCCAAGGAAGCCTCATAATTTCGAGAGTGGGTGTGCCTCTTCACAAAGGGGGATCGCAGTGACCAGGCTTAGTGGCTTTTTACCTACACAGGTCTCCTCAAAGTCGTAAGACCATGTATAGGGGATGACCCCTACCTAGTGCTGGAAGGTCAAGGTAGTTGGCGACGTAATGAGTAATGACAAGGGAGCCGGCGACAGCACAACAAGTAACCATGTGCATGAGGGGTTTTCATATTCATGTGAGAATGCCATCTCTGGTTTAGTTGGAACACAATGATGAACTTGACGGGATTTGGGAGTGACAAATCCTCCAACTTGTCTACCTTGCTCACTTCTCTGATTGTCCAATTCAACATTAATAGAACAATCAGAGCACAACAACAATGATGAAAGAGGGGAAACAACCAAATTACAGAAGATAAGCCAGCTAGGAAGAACACACATACTTTTAAATTGAATTAACATTCAGAAGTGTAGTTTGAGGAAGATCTATCCTTTCAGCAATGCGTCCTTCTGAGGGAACAGGAGAAAAGGCACACCAAGACGCATTATAATTTATACGTTAAGCTTTCTAACCAACAGCGAAGCTGATAAGCTTCATTAATTGGTTACTTAATGCTACAACAGAAGATATAGAGTTAGGAAATGCATGATTAAGGTCATTAGCGTGTACAATTAAGTAGTCCAAGTTGTTAAATCCACGATCAGATCATATTTGGAGATCTAAAATAAATATTTATTCTGTTGCCTTGGTTTACCAGATTGACTTACAATTCATACTCAGCAGTTGTTCTATTTTCCTTGCAGAATTTCATTGTCTAATTTGACAACCAAAACTTAAAACCATTGGAGCACCTTCCTTTTCAATGCTGATCATAGTATAAAAGAAAATATATAATAACTTAGATAAACTTTACCTCATTAAAGAAGGGGCGAGCTCTTGTGCAAGAGAGAATCCTGAAGTGATCAAGGAACAAACAAACATTAGACTGTATTAGCTGAAAGACACTAGAGAGTTGAATAATAAAACTTGATCTTGACACAAAACAACAATTAAACATGTTAACTGCTCTAAACTTCACTCATATAAAAAGTGTTAACTACTCTTATTTTGAGGAAGCCACTTTCCAAAATACAAGAACCGATTGATTATAAACACACCTTGAAGTCGTGCATTAATCTGCAATATGAGAATCACCACAGGCAACCTGTCAACTGCAATTGCCTCCCCTTGAAAATGCAATGCACCATGAGATTTAGTCGGATGTATTTCAAGGTCTGCCATACTTCATCCCATCTCCAAGCCACTACTCATGGGACCGACATTTCAAGTCTTTTAAAATACCATGGTTCCACACAGACTTGAAAATGTCATCAGGCCGTAATTGATTATCAAACATTTTGTCACGAAGAGCTGTAGCACCAGCTACATCTCCAACATAAAAGTATCCACACAAAAGAGCCGTGTATGTAACAGTGTCAGGTTGTAGCCCTCTATCAATCATCTCTTGGAAAAGTGTTACAGCATCCTTGAACTTATTTGTTTTGCAGCGATCGTCTATCAAAACAGTATAAGTAACAGCATCAGGCGTTATATCCATTCCCTTTAGTTCATTCAGAAGTATTGAATTTTCCGCATTATTGCTGCTGATTCCCATAGCCTTCTTCCTGGACCTTATTTTCAAGGCCCCGTCGAGCAAAACTGTGTATGTGATAATATCTGGTTCAAGCCCTGTATTCTTCATATCATACAGAAGAGTACATGTCTCTCTCTGGCAATTGACCCTGCAATAACCATTTATCATCATTGTGTATGTCATCATATCAGCACTTAGCCCTCTGCTGACTAGAAGGTCAAACACATATTGGGCCTTTTCCATTTCTCCGGCACGAGAAAGCATCCCTATAGCTTTGCTGCACATAATGTTAGAATATTCAGCACCTAGAGCCAACACTGTCTCAACCAACTGAATAGATTTCTCAACATCGTGTTCCATACTGGAAAGCAGTTTCAAGCAAGAACGTTTCTTCAGTGTATATCCTTTTTCAGTCAGAGAAATGAATAGTTCAAAAGCTTTCTCTAAGTTTCGTGCTGAGCAATATCCGTTAACCATGGCATTAACGATATCCAAGTTCTGGTCTTTCAAGTAAGAAAATAAAGCTTCAGCATCCTCCAAGTTGCCTCCAGTGCATAGCCCTTCAATGATGACACTGTATGTGTCATTGTTAGGTTTAATATCATGGTCTTCCATGTACTGTAACAAATTGTTGACTTCTTGTGTCAGACCTAATCTAGAGAAACCAGAAGCGATTACATTATACGTGACAATATCAGGGATAACCCCATTTTCCTTCATCCCTTTGAATATGTTTAGGGCCTCATAAGGTTTTCCTTCATCCAAATAACCACCAATGACAGTTGTATAGTTAACAATGTCAGGAACAAGATGCTTATCTTTCATCTCGGCAAGCAATTCAATGGCCGCATCCATGTTGCCTAACTTGCAGCAGGCATTCATCACTATATTGTAGCAAACCTTATCAAGGTAAATACCCATCCTCTTACATGTCTCGAAAAAACTTAGAAGGTTAGAAGCCTTGCCTGCTTGAGACCAGCCCTGAAGAATTGAGCTGACTATCATACAATTTGTTTTCACACCTTCTGACAACATGTCATCATGAAGAGATACGGCATCAAGTAAATTCCCATCCCTGCATAACCCACAAATAATAGCACCATAAGCATACACATTGGGAGCAAACCCTTGCCTTTTCATCTCAACTAGTACATCCACAGCCTCTTTAAGTTTCATCTGCTTACAGAACCCTCGAATCACAACGGCATAAGCAAACTCATCAACTGGAAGCTTAGCTTCGACCAGAAGCTGAAGCGCTTTATAGCCTGAATCCGGGCTGTTATGAGTACACAACCCTTCAATATAACTTGAGTAGGCAAACGCATTTGGAGCCATCCCAAGATCTTCCATTGTCTGGAAAACAGACAATGCCTGGTCCAAGCAACCCTTTCTACAGAATGCCTTAACCGCAATCGAGCAAGTATATTCGTTAGGATGCAATCCAAAGCAATCCAACTGCATATAAATGGCCACAGCTGCATCAACCTCCCCAGACTCAATCATCCGGTTCATGAGATAATTACACGTCAAAATGCTCGGCTTAAACCCCAACTGGTTAACACAGAAAAGAACATCGATCGCCTCATCGAACATTGCAAGCACTGCATGCAGTTTAACCAAAACATCCGACACTTTCGAAATGACCTTCGAACAATCAACATCACAACCCTCGGACAGAGCTTCCAGCAAATCCGAAACAGCGAAATCCCGCTCCCTCTCGTTGTTGACGAGTTCAGAAAGCATGGAATTCAATTTCCTATCCAAATTCCAGAAACACAATATCCTAATCATAGCAGCATAAGTATACGCATCATGAACAAACCCGTCTCGTTTCAGTTGATGGAAGAAAGAAAGTGCAAGGAAAGGCTCCTTCCTCATATCATGCAAAAAATGGAGAACTCGGCCACAGTCCAGCTCCACCGAACTACCCAAAGCATCGGCTTTTTGATGAGTATCAACTGTTGTTGGCTCCTCCAAATCCAGTTCTGACCGTCGGAAAAGCGCAGGAGCAGCGTAGCATCGTCTCGGCCTCACTTGTTTGAGGAAATTGCATGACGAAATAAGCTTACCCGGCAACAGCCACATGGAAAGTTTTGCCCTTTCTACTGGGTCAAGCATTCAATTCAAACTCGGAGCATGTTTGAGCGGCGGCCGGAGAAACTCAGCGGCGAGAACCAAACTGAAAACGGGAATGTTCAACACTTCAACCCTTTTGTATTGAAATTTGTTAAACGACATCGTATCAAGTACTTAATTTTATTTTGGGTTTTTGTTTTTCCTTTCTCCCTCCTTTTCCGAAGAATTAAGCCGCAGGCCGTAGCAGAGAACGAACCACTCGCAGAATTTCAGCGACTCGCCCGAGCGGGAAAATATTGTCGGAAGCTAGGGTTTTCGCGACTCGGCGTTAGTCGGATTCGCTTGGGATTTCCTCCAATTGGGTTGCTCTGCTTACTTTCTTCTTCCAGCCTCGTGTAGGTTTCAGCGAGAGAACACAGACCGTCAAGATGAGGATTATGATAAAGGGCGGGGTGTGGAAGAACACCGAGGATGAAATCCTCAAGGCGGCGGTTATGAAATATGGGAAGAATCAGTGGGCTCGCATCTCTTCGCTTCTCGTTCGTAAATCCGCGAAACAGTGTAAGGCTCGGTGGTACGAGTGGCTGGACCCATCGATCAAAAAGGTAACCGCCCTCTCTCCACTTCGCGCCTTCTGTCTTCTTTCTTAACTTGGTTTGTTGAGAATTTTTATGGGTGAGAGTTTAAAACGGATGGGAACTCGGGCAGTGATGATATTATTTGATGTCTTGAATTACTGCATTGCTCAGGGTGTGATCCCAATTTGAAACGCTGCTGTTTGTGGGACTGATGGTAGGTTGATTTGATTTTTGCAGACTGAGTGGACCAGAGAAGAGGATGAGAAACTGCTCCATCTTGCTAAGCTCATGCCCACTCAATGGAGAACAATTGCACCCATTGTTGGCCGTACTCCGTCCCAGTGTCTCGAAAGATATGAGAAGCTCCTTGATGCTGCCTGTGTTAAGGATGATAACTATGAACCCAATGACGACCCTCGCAAGCTGCGTCCCGGGGAAATTGATCCGAATCCTGAATCTAAGCCGGCGCGTCCAGATCCTGTTGATATGGATGAGGATGAGAAGGAAATGCTTTCTGAAGCAAGGGCTCGGTTAGCCAACACCAGGGGAAAGAAGGCCAAAAGGAAAGCCAGAGAAAAACAGCTTGAAGAGGCTAGGAGGCTTGCTTCCTTGCAGAAAAGAAGAGAACTTAAAGCGGCTGGTATTGATGTTAGGCAAAGGAGGAGGAAAAGGAAGGGGATTGACTATAATGCTGAAATTCCCTTTGAGAAGAGGCCTCCTCCTGGCTTCTATGATGTTGCTGATGAAGATACAACAGTAGAACAACCTATGTTCCCTACTACTATTGAAGAACTTGAAGGGAAACGAAGGGTTGATGTAGAAGCACAGTTGAGAAAGCAGGACATAGCAAAGAACAAAATTGCTCAGAGGCAGGATGCTCCAGCTGCCATCCTGCAAGCTAACAAACTAAATGATCCTGAAGCAGTTAGGAGGAGATCAAAGCTTATGCTACCTGCACCGCAGATTTCTGATCATGAATTGGAGGAAATTGCAAAAATGGGCTACGCTAGTGATCTCATTGCTGAGAGCGAGGAACTAACAGCGGGGAGTGGTGCAACACGTGCACTTCTTGCTAACTACTCCCAGACACCCCATCAGGGAATGACGCCAATGCGCACCCCACAGAGAACTCCTGCAGGTAAAGGTGATGCCATCATGATGGAGGCAGAAAACCTTGCTCGTCTGAGAGAGTCACAGACTCCATTATTGGGTGGAGATAACCCTGAATTGCATCCCTCAGATTTCTCTGGTGTGACTCCTAAGAAACGGGAAATTCAAACTCCAAATCCCATGCTGACTCCTTCTATGACTCCCTCAATGACTCCTTCTATGACTCCAGGAAGGGCCAGTGTTACTCCTAGAGTTGGCATGACACCTTCACGTGATGGATACTCTTTTGGTATGACTCCAAAGGGGACACCCATCAGGGATGAACTCCATATAAATGAAGACATGGATATGCATGATAGCGCTAAGCTTGAGCGGAGAAAGCAAGCTGATCTGAGGGAGAATTTGCGAGCTGGTCTTAGTAATTTGCCACAGCCCAGGAACGAATACCAGATTGTCGTACAACCACCTCCAGAAGAGTCGGAGGAACCAGAAGAGAAGATTGAAGAGGATATGTCCGATAGGATGGCCAGAGAAAAGGCTGAGGAGGATGCACGGCTGCAGGCATTGCTTCGGAAGAGATCAAAGGTGCTTCAGAGGGAGCTCCCAAGGCCCCCTGCTGCTTCTTTGGAATTGATTAGAAGTTCTCTGCTGAGAGCTGATGGAGACAAGAGTTCGTTTGTTCCTCCAACGGTAATTGAACAAGCTGATGAACTGATAAGAAAAGAGCTTCTACAATTATTAGAGCATGATAATACGAAGTATCCACTTGATGAGAAACCAAATAAGGATAAAAAGAAAGGTACCAAGCGCTCAGCAAATGGCCCAGCTGCCCCTATACCTGTCATAGAGGATTTTGAGGAAGATGAGCTACAAGCGGTAAGCATTTCATCTTGTGTGCATTGAATATTTCGTCTTTGTATTACCCTTCCTGCACTTAGGGTAAGTAGATGTACTTATTTGATTCTGATGGTAACTTTTCTAAGTGGAGATATGTGATTGTGTGGTGATATTTACTGTTATTAAAATTGTTTTTTTTTGGGCGGTATAGACACTTATGTAGAGGAAGCCAAAGTTGCAATGTATCATATCATGCTGCTGGCATTCTGTATTTATGTAGTGCATTCATCTCTCCGTCAACCAAGTTTGTGGGCTGATTGGGTTTCATGGTGGTGCTTTGACTGTATTTCTTGAGTATTTAATGATCATGCTATTGCAGGCTGACACTTTGATAAGAGAAGAGTCTGAATATGTACGTGTCGCAATGGGGCATGAGGGTGAGTCTCTTGAAGAATTTGTTGAAGCACACACGACTTGCCTGAATGATTTGATGTATTTTCCTACTCGGAGTGCTTATGGTCTTTCCAGTGTTGCTGGAAATATGGAGAAATTGGCTGCCTTGCAGTTTGAATTTGAGAATGTCAAGACAAGGTTGGAGGCTGAAAGAGAGAAGGCATTACGCCATGAAAAGAAAGTGAATGTTCTGACTCAAGGTTATCAGGTACGAGGCATTGCTTCTGGAATTGTCCATCTTTTGCTCTGGACTGAGAAACACCAATGTCTTACTTGTTGGTTGCCTGCCTTTTCCTTCTGCTGACATTGTTTAACAGTTTAGGTAGTTTTCTGATATCGTGCTGGCTTGCTGATGTGGTTTTTGCTTGAGTTGGAATGAATCTGTGGATTTGTTGAACCGCATGCAATTTTTTGTGTTAAGAACTTTGTGTAAACTTTGACCAAGTTCTAGGCGACTTGGAGTAATAGGGAACTTCACCTTTTATATTGCTGTGTCGTCATTAAGAATGTTCCCCCTTCTGTAACTGCTTGAAGGTTACAAGTAGCACATGATTCTGTTTGTGAATATCTATCTCTTGCTTTCTCTTGTAATTGGGTGTTTGTATATTGCCTTAAACCTGATAACCTGCTTGTCACCCATTGTTTGTTTCCTATTTGGGCATGACTGGCAAAATTGGATTGGAATTTGTTGTGTATTTGTGTTTGCTGCACCAAATTGAGATTCTGCAGGTCTGCTTTTGATTGTGCACTAAATATGTTTGGCGTTTTTTAACGATCAGATACGTGCTGAAAGGCAGCTTATGCCACCAATCGACTCAATCTTGAAGCAAATAGACATTGCTGGAACGGAATTGGAATGTTTCCAAGCATTACAAAAGCAGGAGCAGTTAGCTGCATCACATAGGATTAATAGTCTGTGGGAGGAGGTACAGAAGCAGAAGGAGCTGGAAAAAGCTCTTCAACAACGATATGGAGATCTTGTCTCCGAGTTGGAGAGGACGCAGCTGCTTGTCAAACATTACAGAGGACAGGCCAAACAAGAAGAGATTGATGCTAAGAAACATTCAATTGAACTGGCCACTACTGTACAAGATGATGCCATGGTAGATGCTGAAATATCCGAGCAGCCGGTGCCAACAGATCCTGTGCCCATCAGTTCTTCAACTTGTGATGAAATTGCACCACCTCCAGAGACTGATCAGGCTCAAGAACATGTCACTGCAGACTCTAAACCCGGCATGGATGTTGAGTCTGGGACAATAAGTGGAGATGTCATCTCATCTGATGATGCAAATGCAGAACTAGTCGCCAGCACTGGCGTTGATGATGGTACAATGAACCCTGAGGTTGGTGTAAAGCTGGGTTCAATTTCTTCAGACCAAGGCCGAGTCCAAAGTGCCGAAGTTGAAGAACACAAGGGAGAAAGGGATGAGGATGTTGTGAAGGCGAATGTGGAGGACGTTACCATGTCTGAATAAGCAGCGGACAAAGCCGGATGGAGAAGGAGAGCCATAAGATCTTCTTGCAGAAGAAGAGTGAAGCTTGGAATTGCATGGAACCTAGCATCCCTGTACTTCATCAGTGAGAACAATCATGAGAGTGAAACCGTAGAGCCTCAATTGTCTGGGTGATATATAATACGGTACCTCTTGAAACACTTGGATCGGAAAGGTGCTCCTAGGTTGTTTCCTTAGGGATCTGGAAATCAATTGTGATGGAACTTTGTTCTGTTTTGAACACAGATTGACGAGGAAAAGATGTGAGATTTTAGGTACTGTGGTAGCTGTTTTGGTTAGTTGAGGAACTTATGTGTCTTTATCAGTGTTATTAAAGCCGAGCCGCTCGGCCCGACCGGTAAAACCGCCACTCGGTCATAAAACCGGCTCGAAACAGTCTAAAAGCTGCTCCGATTTTATGTAGCGGTTGGCGAGCGGCCGAGGCGGTTAACCGTTCGAGCCGATTGAGCCGCTGGTCCGGTTTTTGCCATTCAATCACTAAATTTAATTAAAAAAATTGCAGAAAATTGAAAATTGGAATAAACAAAAAACGTAGGGCTCTCAAACTGAATCTTTATTTCCATTTCACAATTTCGAAGGAAAGAGATAAGCTCTGATAAATAAATGTCCACTATTTATACTGGTAACGTATATTAGGTACTGGTTCTCTAACGGTTTTTAAACGGTCTAATGCCGGTTGGACCATTAAAGTGTGAGCCGTTCGCATTACCGGGTCATGCTCCGGTTCGGTTATGACAACATTGGTCTTTATCACTGCACGTGGGCACCGGGCTGTGCCGCCCACGGGCTGGCACGGTTAGAGCACGAGCACGGACACGAAATAAATGGGCCAGCCCGGTACGAGCACGATAATTTATGGGTCGTTTCGGGCCTAAACTTTATGGGCATGGACACGAGCACGGGCACGACACAGTATATAAGTGGGTTGTGTCGGGCCTAATATTTTCCAGACTTTATTGAGTATAAAAACAGACATGACACGAAAATAATATTTATTTGATATAATTAAACAAAGCCAAATCACACTCGTTATACTTTCAATTTTCTTTTTCCCCTTATTTGTTACTTTTCTCAAACATTATTGGTTAATACTATCTTCCTCCGTCCAAATTTCACCTTCTTTTTCATTCTCTCTTTTGTCTTCGTCCGTTTCATTAAACACAAATACGAGCATGGCACGAGCACGAATAGGCACGACACGATTTGAACCGTGCCCGGGCCGGGTCTAGTAAAGTTAACAAATAGGCTTGCATGGCACGACAAGAAAACTGGCGAGTCGTGCCAAGCACGACACCAAATAAATGGGCCCGAAGCGTGCCCATGTCGTGTCGTCCCAAGCACGGCCAGCGCCATGTACATTTATCACCCAAGAGGATGTTTCAATCTTCCGTTTATATCGTAGGTTTAGCTAGTCGTATGGGGTTTGATTGGGGGTACTACTAGTTTAATGTTGATTTTGACAAGAACATACGAAGAAGTGATCAACCATGTAAACTACACTAATCTTAGCCAAAAGGTATAGAAAGGTATGATCAACCATTATACACTAAGTGACTTGTGTATTTGAATAATCTGTTTTAAAACAAGCTACACTAATTAATAAAATGTGTTTATTAATTAAAAACAACATGATTTCATGAAAGAATTATATTTGTATGCTAAATATAAAATATGTTGGGAAAATAATAATAATTTTTAGTAAAAAATACATGTACATATGTATAATCAGCCGACTTCGGATCGGATAGTGCGAAAAGCCGAAAATCATGCCCACTCATTCCCCGCAATATTTGGATTCGGAGTTTGCCCGTACCCACTGAAAATCCTTTGGGTTCGGGTTTTACCCTACCCGAATAGATCGGATTCAGTTATATTTTTGCCATCTCTACTTCTTGGTCTTTTAATGAAAATAAAGAATCTTTCTAATATTTTACATATGAGTTACATACACATTGGGTCAACCTACCCCGATCCACAGCCCATGATAAATTACCCGAACTAGACACGTCCTGCCATGGGATACCCGCCCCCGGACCTGCCCATCGCTATTCCAAATTTTGATTATCGCTTCGTACTAGACTACTAGTAATCTTTTAGTTTTTCTTTCCAATAGTAATTGACAACCATAAGTGTTACCTTTATATGTTAATTCACAAATGAGATGTTTGTATAAAAAGTTATGTAATAAATTTACTGACGCATTAATTCCTTTTCATTTTTCTTTTATAATTCTGCATTAAACGTAAAGCTCATCTTCTTCCTTCCACTCCACAGTCTCTCTCTCTCTCTCTCTCTCTCTCACAGTGATGCCATTCCCCACTCCCCTTTTTCTCCTCCTCCTCCTCCAAACCTCATCTCCGCCACATCCGCTTCCTCCCCTCCGCCGCCGCCTCTAGCATTTCCCCTTCCCCTTTTCGCCGGAACCCATGTCGTCGTCTTCCCCAATCGTCTACTCCTTCTCCCTCCTCCTCTCCCTCGCCCTCATCTTCATCTTCGCACCCGAAATCCTCCCTTCCCAAAACCCTTTCTTCTCCCCTCACGACGACCACGACGATCTCGCACTCTTCAACAAAGCCCTCCGCTCCGCCTCCTCCGTCCACGGCCGCGGCCGCGGCCACCGCCGCCTCCGAATCTCCCGCCTCGCCACCAAAAACCCTACCCCCAAAATCGCCTTCCTCTTCCTCACGAACTCCAATCTCACCTTCGCCCCTCTCTGGGACCGCTTCCTCCGCGGCCACTCCCACCTCTACAACATCTACGTCCACGCCGATCCTTTCTCCGACGTCCAGATCCTCCCTCCACCCTTCGAATCTCACCTCATCCCCAGCAAGAAGACAGAGCGGGCTTCCCCTTCCCTAATCGCCGCCGAGCGGCGGCTCCTCGCCAGGGCGATTCTCGACGACCCTTTCAATCTCTATTTCGCCCTAATCTCCCAGCACTGCGTCCCTCTCCACTCGTTCCCCTTCCTCTACCGCTCGTTATTAGGGGAAAACCCACTCAGGGCTTTCACCTCCCAGCCTCGGCACCGGAGCTTCATCGAGATCCTCTCCGACGACCCCAACCTCCCCGAGCGGTACGCCGCAAGGGGGGACGGCGTGATGCTGCCGGAGGTTCCGTTCGAGGATTTCCGGGTCGGGTCGCAGTTCTTCGTGCTCGCCAAGCGGCACGCGCTGCTGGTGCTGGCGGACAGGAAGCTGTGGAGGAAGTTTAGGCTCAAGTGCCTGAATCTGGACTCCTGTTACCCGGAGGAGCACTACTTCCCGACGCTTCTGTCCATGGCGGATCCCGAAGGGTGCAGCCGCTTCACCCTGACGAATGTGAACTGGACGGGGAGCTTCGACGGGCACCCGTATACCTACGAGGCGGCCGAGATCTCGGCGGGGTTGGTTCGGAGGTTGAGGCGGTCCAATTCCAGCTACCCTTATTTTTTCGCTCGGAAGTTTTCGCCGGAATGCCTGCCTCCGCTGATGGATATTGCCGAGGACGTTATTTTCCGGGACTGAGTGCATCAGCAAATGGGGTAAGTAATTCAAATTAAACTGAATTTTTCTTATTTATTTATTATCTGATAAATTCTTTGATGATTTCTTTAATCTGTGTATATTATTCCACTCCATTAACAATTTGCCAATGAAAATTAGCCGAGTTAGAATGACCTAGCTAGGCTGAGTTCGACTCAGGATTCGAATCGCCGATTCTGTCGTCCGTTTGTGGGCAATGAGCATTAATTTTGATGGGGGAGGGAGAAAGATAAGAACTTTGAGGCGTTGAGTCTTGAAATCAGGATTTTCGGGCCTGAAAGTTTGGCGTCGATTAAATTTGTATCGGTTCGATTTATTATATGGCTGATAATAATGCATAATTATGAAATTTAAGTGGTGGATTTGGTATTCATTAAATCGAGTAGTTAATTAGATAACAAATGCTCCTCAATAATGGTGTGCTAAAGTCCAGGGAGAGACGTTCTAAGTTCTAATGAGATTTGTTGAGAGGGGTTTTAGGGTAAAATCTTAGATCTTTACAAAAATTTGGGTCTTCCCCTTGACATTGAATTAAATTAAATACATGAAAAAGGAATATTGTTTGCTTGTTTGATTCCTTTTTGGTAATGTACCAAGGTGTTGTGGTTTGTATATGTGATGAATGACGAATAGGAATGAAACCAGAAGAAGCGAAAAGAAAAGGGTCGATCGAAAAGACGTGATAGTAAGGACAACTTGTAGTTTCTCTCTTCCAAATATTAACGAATTTGTAGTCCAGCGGTACCTTATCAATGGAGGATAGTGCTCGAGTCGAGTGTTCTAGTCCTAACGACTCGCTTACAAACACTCGCAAGTTGAACTCGGGCCCGGGTGGGTTTTAGGTTTGGTGTCGGAGTCGGACTAGTTTTAAGTTGAACGCCACCAGATGCAAATTGTATGGAGGAAAGGAGTAGATATAGCGTGCATTGTGATGTGATGATATATATTTTCGAATATGAAAGAAGGAGAAATGGTGGTGGGTGTATACCATGATATCACTATATAGTTGTCTTTATCGGCTGTATCTGACTTTGAGTGCGTGTCTCTGTAGTTGAATAGAAGTAGCAGAAGAGAAGTGGGGAAATTGGGGTGAGGTTAGTCAACTAACAAGACAACATATTGTTTGTTATTATCCATTGCTTGTGAGAGAACCCAATCTTATCTGGTTCTTGTAACTATGTTGGTCTGACGACGAATGGCTTGATGTTCCAAGCAAAGCTAGGAATAGGAAGCAAAACCACGCTAACGAAATCAGGAAGTGGGTTTCATTTTCATTCTGAGCTGTGTTACTTTTCTATTTAGGGGGTATCTGAATGACCATCACTAGAGTTCAAGCAACCTATATAATAATATGGTAACATGAATCGAAGGCTCTACAGTCTACTCAAAGAATATATATAGTGTTGGTCCTTCTTTGGCGTGATGCCTTTCTTTATCTTCTTTAGACTTTAGAGAGAAAATAGAAGAGGGTAGAGAGAGAGAGAGAGAGAGAGAGAGAGAGAGAGAGAGAGAGAGAGAAGAGAGTGATGGATGGTGATCTCTGATCTCTCTGTGTTTGTGGGGTTGCCCTTTTGACTACCTACCAATACTTAACTTAAACAAAAGTGAAAGATTCCCTAATCTTTGCTTTTGGTAGGAGGGAGGCACCATTCTTTCGGTGCTTAATTATATCTTTGATATCATGTGGTTTTTCTGCTTTTCCTCAATGCATCATATCATAAGAATGCTACCAAAAGTGCAATGGAGGTTTAGTCGTAGCCATTATCTGATTTGATCTAATCAGTATGTTAATAATTTATCTGTCTTTGTTACTTGTGGTGTAGGGAGTCGTAGCCATTATAGTTAGCAGGTGGGTTTGGTGTTGGCGGCAACAGAGCAGAGTATGAGAGCTGAGTAAGGAATCTCTGCTCTCTTGGTCTGGCGTTTTCCTTTTGTTATCTGCTTACTACTGCTGCTGCAACTAGTAGTTTTGCGTTGCTGTGGAGTGTGAAGGAGGAGCAGTCAGCAGAGAAAGAAGAGCAGAGTTTTTTGGTTTTGAGAAGAGGGTTCCTCCCCCTCTTTCTCTCTTCCAGCCATTGTAGAGTAGAATTATGAATGGGGCTTTAAAGAAAGTTCACATTCTATGTACTTTTTCTGTATATCAGAGGTGGAACCCAAAAAAAAAAAAAAGAGCAGGGGGAAACTAGTTTGTCAATGATGATGTTGTATATAATGCCCAGTCCACCAGCTAAAGTGGCTAAGGTGGGCCTGCAACTTGTATTGTTTGTTGGTAATGGAGAATGCCTCATTCTCAGTATTATGTATTTGCTTTGTGGGTTTTCCTTTACTTGAGGGATCCTTTGTTGGATGTTAAAGACACAACAGACTCTGCTAGGGGATGTCAATTAAGCTTTTGTACAGATGAATCAGAATTTAGAACATGCACCTCTCAGAAGATTGAAGGTCTTGTTTTGTTTTGCCATCTCAGAAATGATGAAGATGTATGTTTATGTTTATGTTTATGTCTAGCCTGCTGCAAAATCCCCTATATATGAACTATTTGATTTAGTAATAACAAAGAAACTTCATTTTCCTGCTGCAAGTTAGAAAGTCAAGGAAGCAGAGGATCCGACTTTGAAAGTGAGCTATAATGCAGCACATCCACAGAGCACAGAACTTGGTTCATTCTATTTCAATTTCCGGACAAGAGGTTAAACAATGTGAATTTTACAGGGTGAGATCCAAGGTTCGACTGAAACAAAACTAAGCTAACTCCGATCGAATTGACGGAGGAGTTCACTTCAATTGAACGGGATAACAACATCCCCGATGTTCTTGTGCCATGGATCCGCCAAATGGGTCGCCAAATTCTCCAGCGGTCCGGTCCCCGGGTACGCCGACTGCTGCACGCAGAACCCAACGAACGCCAGCAACGCCAGCCGGCCGTTCTTGATCTCCTTGAGCTTGTACTCCTCGAGCTTTTTCGGGTCTTTCGAGAACCCGAGCGGGTCGAACGCCCCGCCGGGGTACTTCCTCTTCTCCGGGTCCTTCTCCATGCTCCGCTGGTGCTCCACGAACGCAATGGACAAGAACTCGATCACCAGTATCGTCGGCAGGGTTCCCCACGGCACCGGCTGCCCCAAGTAGCTCGCCTGACCGCCCGGCACCGCCGCCCACGACTGCGCCTGCACCCAGTTCCCCAGCCCCAATGCCTCCGGGACCAGGATTCCGGGGACGGCGAGCATCGCCCATCTGCAGTGGATCAGCTCCGACTCCTTGAACCGCTCCAGGTTCTCCGGGACGGTGCCCAGTCCGAGCGGGTCGAACCCGAAGTCACTGCATTGTATCGTATATATATCAGAGATCAATTCAATCAAAGTTCAGAGCTTTTGGTCTGATTAATTAATTGTAACTTGATAATCGTATCAATGGGAAATTGGGAATTTGTTTCGTACCCGGGAGCAGAGCCGTCGAGGTGGGCGGGTCGGGGCTGGCCGGGCATCCATTCGGCGGACATGACGACCCGGCCGGAGGAGGCGACGGCGGGGAGAGGAACAGAGGAGGCGAATTTGGACCTGGAGGAAGAGAGGAGGGACGGGAAGGCGATGGCGAGGCCGCCGCCGCTGTTCATCGCGGAATTCGCCGCCATCTTCCCCCCGGTGGAAATGGAAGATTGAAGAAAGAATGGAGAATGGGACGAGAGAGAGAGAGAGAGAGAGAATTGTGAGTGGCTGAAAACAGAGGTTTGTGAGAGGGGTTATGAATGAGAATGAGGAAGAAGATGGTACGGAGAGAATCTGAAAATGGATTTGCATTGGCTAGAGGAAGCTTACATGGGTTACGATTATTGGGCCACGTCGGATTTCCCATATCCGGGTTCTGTTCGGATTGCCTACGTGGCATTCCCCATCCTTACTTGTGATCGAGGTTTGCTGTCACTCATTGCTGGGATAAAATCAAGTCCTCTTTCCATAGTGAGAATAGTAGCCGGACCGGGCCGGATGGTCCGACCACTAAAGGTTACGACCGAAGATTAATCCGGCTCGCCCGTGTGCATTGGAGCCATCCGGTTCGTTAGCGGTCCAAACAATTACCTGTTTAAACTGAATGACCAACTCAATGCGGTCGGTAAGCGTTTTTTACTCCGACTACTCCAACCAAAATAGAAACCAAAGAAAATCGACCAATACTAAAGCTACGAATGACGAAACAATACTGCCCTCCACCCCCACGAATTGTGTGAGACATGATAATAGTAAGGGAGAGAGGACATCGTTATCTGAGACGTAACGATGAAAAAATCATTGATGCAGATAAATTGGAACATACATTCACACCGCGACTCAGAATACAGAAGGTTAGTTTTGTTTTACAATCTCACAAATCATGAAAGCTTTATGAGTTTATGTCTAACCACATTATTAGGCTTCATGGAAAGAACAATATGACTTGAATATGATTTGCACTCCACTTTTAGCTTCCAACACTCTACCCTTCATAATTAGACTTTGCAGTCAAAACAAGTAGAGTGGTTGACACTAAAGCTGGAGTGCATCCTCTTCCTATGTAACGGAAACAAACATGCCAAGTGACAGATTTACAAGTATAAAGAAAACAAATGTAGAAGTATAGGAAGAACCACGAATCGAAACTGAAAACGTCGCTCTAGAAGTAGCTAGATTGGAACTGCAGGAGCTCGAGCTGGGCCAATACTTTGGCAATGGATGATTTCAACCTGGGATCACCAGTCTGGGCAAGATCAATCAGCAAAACCTGAGCACGTCCCCCATATTCTCCCCTGAATTCCTCATTCCTGAAAATCCTCTCCAACATCCACAAGGCTCTCTCCTGAGCCTTGACATCCTTGGATCCCAGTGCTCTCACTATTGCTTGGACCGCTGACGTTTCAACAGCCAAAAAGCTGCTTCCTTTCTCCCATATCTCGTCTTCGAGGAGAGTCGCGAGAGCAGTGAGTGCTGCTGCTGCACATCCTTCTTCTCCTGCGCCTCTCTCTCCGCCTTCTTCCACTGTCAGCATCTGGATCAAGGGCCGAACAGCACCTGCCTTCACCAAGCAGAACGTGCTTTTTACGGAGCAACAGCCACCGTGAACTTTGCAAATTGTGTCCGCAGATGGAGGCATGCATTTCCACTTCGGTCTTCTCGACTTGCTGAGGGCTAGCGAGTTCTGAGACAGCTGTGCGAGTGAAGTCGCTGCTCGTTGCCTTGCCACTGAAGGAAAGCCAACTGACAGTAGTTTCACGAGCAAGGGGATCAGGCCCAGTTCTGCTGCAAGAAGCTGCAGTTTCTTATCCGAAGGAATCGTGAAGCGAATCAATACCCCGGCAATGCTCTCTGCTAACCAGTCTCTAGTCTGTGGTGAAGTCGAGGAAGAGGAAGAATTCATCACTGAGATGAGAACTGGCAGCAAGTTAGCCTTCTTAAACATCTCTGTTGCCTTCTTGTCATTGACAGGAATGTTGCTCAGGATTCCAATCGCAGCAGCCTTCTCAGTTTCGGATACCAGTGATGATGAGATCAGATTGATAATGTTGCAAAGGTGGTGGTATTCCCCTATCTGTTCCATTAATTCTTCCGCTGAATCTTTAGAGAGGGTGTAAAGGAAGTTCAAAGCGGCACCTCTTATATTTGTGTTTGTTTCGGTCAGGAATGGCAGCAGAAGATGGATAGCGCCATTTTCTTTCATCTTCTTCCGAACTTTGGAGGCACTGGCATGGGAAGCAATGCTGTTGAGAGCTTTCAGGAGGTGACACTGAATTACTGGGCTCGACAGATTCAACAGAGAGAGCATCTGTTGAGCTGTTACATCCTGATGTACTAGAATGGACTCAGATTCAGAGATCCTGGCAAGTATGGCTGAAGCTGGTTCTCGGAGGGTCATGAGAACAGAAGTCACCGAGAAGAGCAACTGAAGTAGAGGTACTACAATACCCGAGCTGATCAAACGCTTTACATTATCTTCAACCCTTGACAGATTGTGCAATGCGCTTAAAGCAGATAGCTTGGCTTCAAGCTTGCCAGCTTTGAACATGCTTACTAAGTGCTCTATGGCTCCATCTTCCCCGATTGAACTTCTGCTTTGATCTGTGAGCTCCATTCTGGAAAGTGCTGTTGCCATGAGAATCTTACTCATATCTGAACCTGGGACCAAAACAACAGGATCATCATTGCTGTTACACCACAGAATACCTCAAGAATTGAGAGATAAACAACTACTATTGTAACTTAGTAGTCTTTTACCTTCCTTGAGATGGTGGACCAAGGGGTAGAAGTAGCCAGCCTCAGCCATGTGAAGGGCGCTTTGGACATTGCTTGACAATGAATCCAACAGCTTGGCAGCTGCATCAGCGGAGGCTGCTGTTGTTGGATCGTCTCGATTCAGTGTCATCGCAACTAACATCACAATGCATCCCTGAACTTTCCCAATCCTTCGCCTCACTGATGAAACTTCAGACAGTTGAAGCAACAATTCCACAGCTTCCCTCCCTTCATCCATGTTCCGTGCTAACGATTGCACGAGCAATGACAGATTCCCGGCATCTCCCATCCTGTCCTGCAGACTATCAAAGATTGTTAGCATCCAAGATTTAACGAAAAATATATTATCTTTTTAATCTCCTTTTGCAAATATCAGCCACTTAATAATGTGATCAATTCACCTTGATTTCAGCATACGTCAAAGCAAGGTTTCTCAGGGTTTGAATGCCAGCTAACCGATCATCAGCTTTACTTGAACCTAAACGATTGAACAAGATTACGAGAATCCCTTCATCATCAATCCATTCTCTATCCACCATTTCATTCCCAATCAAATTCTGCAATCCCAAAAGTGCAACACGAAACTCTTCATCATTTCCATACTTGAGCTGCAAGGCAACATCCTCACTGCTGAGAGTAGCAGCACCCTGCTCTGCAATGACTGATTCTAGCTCGTTGACGACACCACTGGACTCTTGACTTGACTTCGGACTAAGATTAGCAGCAGAAAAATTGCTCTGGCTGCGGGTTGGGCTAGAACTTAGACTTGTAGTACCAAACCTGCGATTCATCAGCTCTCTGTGAAACGCTGCAACCGTCTCCTTGATCTCCATAGGAAGATCAATCCCAGCAAACAGGACAAGGCCTAACGATCTGCCCAGATCTCGAGTCATCTCCTCAACCCGCTTAATGGGTACCACCCATCTCGACTCGCTAGCACAATTGGCGATCAAGGCCTTAGCATTTCCAAGCTCTCTGTCGAGCGATTCGATCGCCTTCCGAACCGGTTCCTTAGCCACGGCTGACTGGCTGTTTCTAATGTGGACCAGAATTGGGTCGAACTTCTCCACGAGGAGCTGAAACTCGGAGAAAACCTCGGCATCCGGCGGTGAGGACTGCAGCTCAGAGACAATCTCCGATGAATCAGAAATTTGCATCGCGAAACCAAACCCACTAGAGCTCCAAAGACTGGCACGGACAATTGAATAAACAGAGGCTTGGAGGAGATGGTAAAATGAAGATTGGGGACGAATTGTTCCAACCCAGAAGAGGAAACGATCTGGGTTTCATCGAAGCAGAAGGATCGAGTGCGGACGAAACTGAAGGAGGTGGAGGAGGAAGGGAGGACAAATGGAAGGCTGCGGCCGTCAAGGAGTGACCTTTTGTGTTTGGGATTACGTCTGTTTTATCTTTTTGCGATTGGGGTTTGGAATATTAAACTGCAAGAGAAGAACTTGGACGGAAAATTCAGACAATAATTACAGGCAACTTTTTAACGTTATTGGATTTTTGCTTGGCTTGTTCCGTGGAAATTGGAAGACGATTCGCTTCTTGAGTTGGAAGTTTCCTAATTAGAAGCTTTGCAAAGTATGGTCAAAGGTTGAGTCAACTTAGCTTTTACTTCTTAGCCTAACCTTAAAATTACTATTAGGGTTAGATGTTTGTTTTCGAAAATTTGTGATATGTTTTTATAACACTATTAGTATGTTTTAAGATATTTGTGGTTAGTTTTATGACGTTTTTGATGTGATTTGTGGTCTGCTTAATGAAGTTTCTATATACTTTTAAGAAATTTGTGGTTAGCGTTATGAAATTTTTAGTGTGCTTCAAAAAAAATTGTGATCCGCTTTATGAGGTTTTCTGTTTGGTCTAAGAAAATTGTGATCAGCTTTATGAGGTTTCTAATGTGCTTCAAGGAACTTGTGGTATGCTTTAAGACTGTTTTGAGAAACTTGTGATCCGCTCTATGAGGGTTTTGATCTATTTCATGGGACTTGAGTTTTCTAATATGCTTTATGAATTTTGTGGTGTGGTGAGGTTCAAGTATACTTCATGTGCTTTTTGTTTACTTAACGGCATTTGTGATGTGGTTGGTTGTGTTTTATGGTCCGCTTCATGATACTTGTGGTCAGGATGAGGCACAAAATAAATGAGAAGCGCCACATGTGTATCCCCCTATAATTTTTTAAAAATGACAATCGTGCCCCTCCCTTTTAAAATCAACATTCATTATAGTGAACCCCTTAAAATGAAAAAGTCATCAAACCGAAATGTTCAGAATATGCTAACAAATTGAGTGTTAGCACCCTAACCTTGGCTCATCGATTGTGTTACTGCTCCATCACCGACCATCGTCGCTGCTTCTTCGTTATTGCTCAGCGATTCCGACACCGACCATCGTCGTTATCCCTATCAATCAATTCATCGATTGTGGCCGCTTTCATAGCAAGTTTTGTGTCGGGATTGAAGAAGTTGGAGAGAAGACAAGGCGGTGAGGGCAACATAGGAAATGAAGAGACCCCCGACAGACCCAAATGTGGCGCCGATTGAAATTTGAAGTGGAGACGAGGAGGGCCTGCTGTTGAGACGAGTCGTCCTCTACCGCTAAGTTCCAACTCGACCGTGCAATCTACCCCATGCACACCCTCTTCAGGGCAATCAAAGAGAAGATGATTTTGGGATTCTTTCTTGGTTTTATGTATGAATTTTCGCCATTGTTGATGACGAAGAAGAGGAAGAGACTGGCGTAAAATTGTAGTTATGGGTTCTCTTTTATATACCCTTGTTCGACTCCAAACGAGTTGTTTCGTCTAAATCCTACATCAAAATTTCTTACCATCTTGAATGAAATATTTCTGTCTCCACATCATTACGATTTTCTTATATATAAAAGAATGAAATGTGTCCATTCTAGTAGAGTTTTGGTTTAGCCGGTTAGTAATAGTCACCCATTCAACCAACAATCGACAGATTTTTTTGCTGATAACCGCTAAACTGATTATCAGTTATCGCCCCTGTTATGCTTATTCGACTGATCAGGGGAAAAACCGAGGGAAGGAAATAAAAATTTTGTCGAGGGAAGGAAATTTTGGGCAATGTTCTTGGAAAGTTCTTGACTTTTGGATCCCCTCCTCCCTCCGCGTTTCTTCTCTTCTTCCTTTTTACTTTCTGCGCTCCGAAGGAAAACCCCTCTCATCTCTACCCGCCATTGCTGATTCAGTTCAGCTTTCACTTGACCCTGCCAATTGGTTTGGAAACTCAATACATACAGAACCCTGATAGCAGCAGCTACGGGAAAAGATGCAGAGAATCTTCGGCAATAAGAAGAACAAGGATCCTCCTCCTTCCATCTCCGATGCCTCCGATAAGGTTCAATCTCGCTCCCGCCCGCCCCCTTTTCTGTTTTCCGCGTGCTATCTGTTTCTATGATGCTTTGCTGTTGCTTGTCGAGAATTGAATTGTGTTGAACTTGCGGTCTGCAATTTGAGTTTAGCCCTGTGGGGAAGAATTTTAGAAGTCTTACACGAGGTTTCAGATGGATTTAGGGTTCATGGAATCTGTTAGTTTAATGTGAGTGAAGTCTTGAAATTTGATCGGGCACCGGTATATAATCGTGGGTGTGATATATCCTCCCTCTTCTGTGCGGCAAAATGCCGTTTCTATGGAGTAAAGGCCTGGACTTTTTCGAGTGCAGAAGTGAAAAATTTTCTTACTTTAAACGGGTAAGGAAGGATCTCAGTGAGAGGCTTTTCAACGACAGTAGTATTGGCATAAAGACTTGATCTTTCTGATGGATTGTCTTGTTTGCTTGTATTATCAATTTATCATTATGGACTGGGGAGTTAATTGGGGTAGCGTTTCCCTCTCTCAGATTACTAAAAGGGGCGATACTGTGGAAGAGAAGATAAAAAAGCTGGATATTGAACTCAGCAAATACAAAGAACAGATTAAGAAAACTCGGCCTGGGCCTGCTCAGGAGGCCGTCAAAGCACGTGCCATGAGGGTTCTTAAGCAGAAGCGCATGTAAGCACTACTGATATTACTTGTCTTTTCTCATTCTCTTGTAGTCTTATTGACCTATATACCATGTAGAGCGAGGCAGCAATGCTGACATTTGGGCTTGATACTGAGTTCAGCCTTTTCTTTTCATGGTTTGAGAATTATACCATCTGCTATCGAATTTTCTATTGGACACCAATGTTTTCTGACTCCAGTTTTCAGTACTGTTTACTTCAATGGTGCTTATTTATCCCATGTAAAAATGTCCTGGACAGGTATGAGGGTCAGCGTGACATGCTCTACAACCAGACTTTTAACCTGGATCAAGTCGCTTTTGCTGCTGAGGGTATTAAAGATGCTCAACAAACTGTATGGCTCGGTTCCCATGAAAGATTATGAGATACACAATAATATGAGTTGATTTCCCATGCTCTTATAGCACTCTTAGATTGTGTTAAGGCTGGCAACTCCTTTGGAAGGACTTTTTACTTAAAATGCCGACTCACTTTGTTCTGTATCCTGCATCTTTTGGTTTCTTCTCTTCAGATGTCAGCTCTGAAGTCTGCCAACAAAGAGTTGAAAGGGATGATGAAAACTGTTAAGATTCAAGACATAGATGTATGTGGCCTAACATTATCCCTTTGCTCTTGTAAATGTACCTCCGCGTTAGATATTCTATTGTCATAACTGGCCGCTTTCTTTCTCTGTAGAACTTGCAAGATGAGATGATGGACCTGATGGAAGTTAGTAGTGAAATCCAAGAAACTCTGGGTAGAAGTTATAACGTGCCCGATGATATTGATGAGGATGAACTCATGGGTGGTAAGCCAAATGTTTTGAGTTGTTGAAGAGTACTATGTTTCCCCCTTCTGGCTTCTCTGAACTACTTTTAGGGCACTCTGTAAAATTGTTAGTCTTTGCATGCGTCCTCAGATGCAGTATGTGTTCTAAATTCAGTCACTTTGTGCACCATGTCTTCTTGTTAGCTATCTTATGTTAAGCAGACTAGTATAACCACTCTCTGCAGGAGGGTTGTGTTGTTCAGATAAAATAATTCATAGACTCGATTAAGTAAATTTTTTTGCTGAGTAGTAGTTATTGTTAGTGTTGTGGTATATGATCCACGATTCAACCTCTTCCAACAACTCGAGTTATTGGGATCAACTGGTTCTTGACATGGTATCAGAGCCTTCTGTGACCGAGAGGTCTTGTGTTCGATTCCCGGTGACCCCCATTTGTTAAGCACATGGTATTCTTATCTTCAGACCTGTGCAAACTTCAAGCCCTTGTGATGGCTTTCGTTTGAGGGGGCGTGTTAGTATTGTGGTATATGATCCACGATTCAACCTATCCCAACAACTCGAGTTATTGAGATCAACTCGTTCTTGACAGTTATCCCATCTTTATTGATTTTTCTATTGTAGAACTTGATGCTCTCGAGGCAGACATGGGATTCGAAACTGAAGCTGATGGTGTGCCATCATATTTGCAACCTGACAAGGAACAAGACCTGGATGCAGAACTCAACCTGCCTACAGCACCTATGGGACATGCTGCTAGACCCCAGGTGATTACATTCGATCATTCTTGTTGCTTCATTTTCCTATCCGTTGCTAAGCATCGGATAACCAGCGTTTGGATGAGAGACAGGTTGATCCCTTCTGCTCGTAGTCTCGTGTATGCACATGTCATTGTGTTTACTGGTCTGCAAGTCCATTACATTGGTGGCTTCTATCCGATTTGGGAGGAGTCAACCAACCTCTTGAATCGTTTGACACTGCTTGTTATGCAGATCCGAGTTGACCTGATGCTTCCTGCATTTCATGAATCTGCTTGCCTGGCTTTCCTTTCTTTATTTTCACTTTTCCAGCCAATAATTCCTGCATCCCATTTGATTGGCAGGCGGAGGATGATCTGTCACTACCATCTGTTCCGCGAGCATCCCTTCGTGGCTAATCTTATTGTCGCCTGTACTTACTATTCTTGTGCATAGTCAAATTCGATAGAGAATCCGCACTGAAAGGGATGGCTAATATCTGGCAGAGTTCTTTTGTTCTTCCTTTTCCACTTTTCAGAAAGGACTAGTAGCCTTGCCGTGAAGTTATATGTATTGTACTGAGTACTGTGATTGTGAATGGCATTGATATTGATTTACAAGGTCGTAAGTATCACCTCTTTTCATACTTGTAATATTGTTTGTTACTAACCTTCTATCAGGGAGATACCTTGTTCACTTTCATGTTCAACTAAACCTTACGGGCAAATGCGGAAAATGGTACAACGAAAAGCTGCCGCATACATTTTTGTATGCACTCCATAAACATGACTAAAATCTACATACAATAGTCGGTATAGTTTCATCCAGAGCCACTCGGTTGTGTAAAAAAGGGGTATATATAATACATGAACTATACTTTTGAGAATTGCAGAGACTGTAATTCAGCAGATATCATCACACGGATGCAATTAACGGCTCTGTTAAATTCGCTTCTGGTTTCATGAGGTTCACTCTCCGTAAACTTGGTTGCACGTAGGCGGTGCTGGCATTCTGGCAGTTGATTTCGATCTCTCCATTCTTTTGGTCTTCCTCGTCAAGTTCAGCCGCTTCCTGAAAGCACCACCAGTTCAGTAGATGGAATGAGATGTACATGTACATAGATGATAGATGAGAGCCAGGGATGGCACCAGATGAGGGGATAAAATACCTGGATAGGATTATTTCGAAAACTGGGAAGAAAACGTATCTTGCAGTACTCATTGAACACTAAAGTAAGCACCAAGAGCGGCACTGTGGCTATTGAAGCAGCAGGTTTGGATTTCAGACCAAAGAGACCAATCATAGTAACTTGCATCAAACTGATCCCAACCACTATATAGTGATGAATGTATGGCCAGAACTGCCCACATGTCTCATAGGTAGTCTCGTAGACGTCTTCAATCTGTTTGTGAAATAGAATTAACATTGTCAGTCAGAAAGCAGAGATACATACATGGCTAGATAAAGAGTAGAATGTAAACCTGATTCATGTAGACGATATAGCCAAGACAGAAGTAGCCCACAAGGAACGGAAGCAGCAGTGGAGCAATGACAGCATAAACCATACCAATCAATATGGAAAGGGAGACTGAAGGGATGACTCTGAAATAAGGTATCGAAAAGAGGTAGGGATCCTGCCCCTCCCCTCTGCCACATGTGTGCAAAACTATTGCATCCCATGTCAGCAACGCAGGCTGAAGGATCTCGAATGAAAATCCAGACAGCCCGTCGGTTAAGATGTATGTCACAAAGAAATCCGCCTGAAATTTAGTCAGAGAATTAAGGGCAAATTAGGCAATAGAATTAGCATTACCCTTGTTTGCATCAGTCGGAGCAGGCTGGAAAGAAGCGGGCTTTACCTGGGCAGAAACAGCACTTGCAAGGTGACTAGGGAAATTGCTAGGATGAGTGAATGACTCTCCAATCTCATCAAGCAAGGACCCTGATATTAAGCTCAAGAAGAACACATTCCCCACTAGAAAATAGAAGACCATGTTGCAAGCTTTTATCTCCTCCTTGCTCTTTGAGACAGATCCACCCATTTTAGCCATGGCAAGCATTGCGAATGGGACAAGGTATTCACATCCTTTGAGAACAGCACTAGGGAGATATCCCGTCAAAACGGAGCTTAATCCTGGGCTATATGCAGAAGTGCAAAAAGTCAAATTGTGCTACAAAAGTAAGCTAAATTTCAGAACTCTATCTGCAATTATAATATTGAATGCAAATCTGTTTTGCTGGAAGAGAAGGATGATCAGAGGATATCATAACTAACAGTGGACCGTAATAGACTAAACAAATTACTAACATCAGTCCGACAGCCATGGCAGGAGGAAACCATTTCTCCAACTTTTCGAATTTGGCTATTCCTTGAACACCTGTGACTATGACTGCAAAGAAAAGGGTGAGCAGTGTTGCCAAAATAACCACTGCAATTTTGATAAGCGGTAACATCCGGAGTGGAATGGCCAGACTTCTCCATGAAACGTTCCTTGGTTCAGGAGCCTTCTCAGTGATCCATAGTAATGGATGTGAGTGCTGCTGAGACTGGGCAGCCAATGCAGCACTCCTACGATACTTGAATGTCGCAAAGCCGGTGGGTAACTCCTATACATATACAAGTGAAAACAGAATCAATTTTGTTACTCATAGAAAATAGTGTAGAGGTTCTTTCGTTCAAGGCAACGACATTAGACATATTTCTTAGGTCATGCAAAAGTCCGGCTCAACAAAATCAAGTAACAGTAGTGCATAAAGCAGAGGAGATACATCTGTTTTTGGGTATTCACCTTACCACTCAGCGCATCTTTAGTTTTTAATTTACGAATCTTGTGGAGTAGTTTTTGAAGCTTTTCATCGTGCTGCGTTAAAGTCTCATGTTCTTGTGAGTCGTCCAAAAGCAAGATATCTTTCCCAGTTTTACCGATTGTCGACTTTTTCTCAATTTCTCTATCCTAGTTACTAAGTCATTTGCTTGCTTCTGCGTTTTCAACAAGTCAATAACAATCAACCAACATCGTAAACAGAAAGATAGATCCGAATCAGAAAAACTTAACAAATCTTTTTATAGGAAGGGGTTTCGGGCAAAGATATAAACGGTTATCCTTGAAAGGAAGAATTTTACTGGTCAGACAGAAACAACAACAATTTTACTCAATTGAAAAAAAAAAAAAAAATCTGCTGAACTTAATGGTTCATTGTTTGCACTCCACACAAAGATAACTGGTACGCCTCATCACCACCAAATTTCAGTGCAACTACAAGCAAAGCTCAGAAAAAAATCCGGGTTCAGACTTTCGAGATGAAAACATAATAAAAAAACGTGTACCTGCAGATTACCGATTTCCTTTGCATCATAAAGCATTTGGCAGGAACGGTAGCTGTGAGGATAATACTTGGAGAAGAAGTGATCAACAGCACAGCCATAAGCCCCGTGTTCGACACAATAAGGAACTCGCCTCACAAGAACAGTGAAGTGATCAGGTCGAGGCCTCAAGATTCGAAGCTGGTGCACCCTTTTATTCAAGATCGCACCGTACTCCTGAAGATCAAATGATGCAGGAAGCAAGTCACCCACTTTTTCTGAATTGCAGCCAAGGAGAAGAAGCAACATTACTATTTCTATGGCATCTGCCCAATCATCTAATCACTATCTCCTTCCTTGATCATAAAACTGGGGTATTGAAAGAAAAACAAACTAACGATCTATTCTCAAATGAATAAACCACAGGGAACCTTCGGTTATGTTTCTGCAAAAAGAATGCGAAAAGGGAATCTCACCTTATAAAGTAGGAACAATCCATAGAGGGAAATGAAGCACAAGCAAGTGAAATGCACCCATAGCCTACAGAGATTGCACCCATATCAAGAAAATTTAACATTCACTACGTTGGAGGCACAGACATCAACTGAAATTGAATGCTTGGTAGTAGGGAGAAAGGGAAGAATCCCCCTCCCAAAATTACCTATTGGAACCAGTAGGGACATTGGAGATGGAGAAAGGGTCCATGGAATGCCGGATTTTGGAGGCCTCATCCTCGCCGCCGCCGTAATTCACTGGAACGAGCACGGCCAGCCCGAGGAGGGAGGAAACGCCGAAGAAATTGATGCCGAATTTGAAGAGACGGAAGAGAACGAGGACGTCGAGGCCGTGGATCTGGAGTATCTGGTCCTCGGAGAGGTGGAAAGCCTTAGGGATCCAGGCGACGGAGGGGAGAAATCGAGCGAGGGAGAGGGGCGGGAAAGAAGGGGCAGCGGAGCGGCCGGTACCGGAGGCGGAGAGAGGGCGGGCGTAGTAGATGAGAGCATTGGACGGCTGCTTCTTGAGGATGGAGAAGAGGAAGAGGATGATGAAGGCGACTCCGAAATTGATCGCCGCCGAGGCTAACAAACTCTCCGGCCTCATGATTCCTCCTGATGACGACGACGGAAGAAAATGGTGGAATGCTGAAGAGGAGGAGATGATGATCCATTGTCTGTTTCAGAGGGATGTGAAATTGGAAGAGGGAGAGAAAGGCGGCGGCGAGGAGGTAACGTGGCATGGCTGCATGCTCTGCAGCAGAGCGGCGGAGCCGCGGTGGCGTAAAGCATAACAACAGATTTTGGAACGTTTTTAACAGTTGGATCAAAATGAGAATTGCGGGAAAATGCAGGTACTCTTATGGTATTAATCCAAAGTGGAATTACATTCTGTTGACCTATTTGGTTTGGAAGCTAGGGATTTTGACTGACGTCAACAAGTACTCTGATCGTCTTTCCAAATTCAGTCAACTCAAAGTCACGGGGATTAGCCGAATGGCGAAGGAGCTGGACGGCTTCCACTTCGAGCAGAACCACGGCAAGGCAAGGGTGAGGATCGCCAGAGTCTGGAAGGCCGATGGCGGCGGCGGCGGCGGCGGCGATCACTCCATGGTGGAATGGAGCGTCGATATCATCCTTTTTTCCGACTGCATCAACGCTTACGTTCGTGACGACAACTCCAACATCGTCGCCACTGACACCATGAAAAACACGGTAACCGCGATCATACCCTCTGCTTTATTTCTTTCTTTCTCTTTGTTCCCCTCTGATTCCAGGTCGTTTAGATGAAATCGCTTCATCGCTGGGGATGGAGCTAGGGATTTTGTTGTAGTTTCTTATTTGAGCCTCTGGCGCTTAAATCTATCTGCAACCCTTGTGTAGTTGAAGATAAAAACGTTCGTGTCATTGAGGAAATTCTTTTGATTTGGGAACCGTCAGAGTTGATTTCAGAAGCTTGGCTAGTCCCTGTTGCTGCGTCTTCGCCTAGTTATTCTAACTTAGCGTGTATGTGTTCACAAGTTAGGTGTATGTGAAAGCTAAGGAGTGTTCCCGGCAGCTTTCAGCGGAGTTATTCGCAATTTTGCTAGCTAAGCACTTTACAGCATTCTACCCGCAGGTAAAAAGTTTAAGGTGATTTTCATGATCGTCTCAACTTCGTGAAGTATCCATTCGACTTGCTTACCTGGAAGCTTCTGTTTGAAAATCGTTTGTAACCAATGTGGAAGGATTTATTCGATTACAGTATGGAAGTGAAAGTATGTTTGAGAAGAGTGTAAATAGTTTGCGGTATTGTCTGGGTGGGTTCCTTTTGGATTCGGGAGAGATGACAGTAGTAACATTCAGCATGTGGTTAGAACATGATTTTGAATTCAATAGTTTACGAAGGAGGCACTTCAGCGTCCAGTTTTGAGGAAATCACAGCCAGGGTAAAAATGCATGTCAGTGGAACTGAATTAGATGCTATAAAATTATGCTCCCAGTTTTTCTTTGAAAAGGAGATGCTCTAAAGTTTTGTGTTGAGGTTCTAACACTGCCGAATCAAGTTTTCTAGACCTCTACAGTTCTTGATCAATGCTTGCTTCAAAGCGTTGTCCTTTGATCTTTATAGAGAAAATCTTGTAGTAAGTCCATAAAATTGGTTCTTGGGCATGAACTGAAAAATTGTTTCAAGTGGTTGACGGGTGACTTCTGTTAATGCCCTATGGGACATGTTTCTAGTCCTGCAAATGTTAATGGGGTGGTCCCTTCAAAATATTGTGATGCAGCTGTTATCATTTGCTTTCTAGTTCTTTACCTGATCAAACATGCCCCATTTTCTGATCAATAACTAGTTTGTATTGCAAATTTTTCAGGTAACATCAGCAGTTGTTAAGATAGTGGAGAAGCCATGGGAACGTGTCAACTTAAATGGACAACCACATGAACACGGTAAAATACTGAAGTTTGTTGAGGAGAATAGTGTCCGAATTTCTATGTTATTTGTGACCCAGCTAAGTTAATGGCGGTGAATATGCTTTCATTACATTCTATTGTCTATACAAAGATTTACATTCTTGTTGAAAACTAGCAATATACACAAATCTAACATCCATCAACATACTGATCTAGGCATCCTGGTTAGAACAGTGTTAATGTTAATGTGCTATTATTTTGTCAAAGGTTTTAAACTTGGAAACGAGAAACATACAACGGAGGCTGTAGTCAAGAAGTCTGGTGGGTTGCAGTTGACTTCTGGAATTGCAGGACTGTCCGTACTGAAAACTACCCAGGTATGCTTTTGTTGCAGTTTAATCATGGAATTGATGCAATCAAAATGTGATCATAAACGAAAGACACACCACTCAGTACCATCCAAACAAATCATACGCGTTTATGGATTTTATCTGACTTTAGCAATAATGTCGTTCTAGCGCCTTAGATTTCGATCCCTTCCTCATGTGGTAGGTAGTCTCAATTCTCAAATTCCTCCCTTTCTGGTAGAACAAAAGAGGTTACCTTTACCTCTTCCTAAGATTCCTCTTGGAAATGATTCTCTACATGTGTCCATTATTTTCCATCAGCCATGCAAGCTCTTTGATATTGATTGCTTGATTTTTCGTGACGGAACGAACAGTCAGGTTTTGAAGGATTTGTCAGGGACAAGTATACTGCTCTTCCTGAAACCCGCGAGAGGATGCTGGCCACAGAAGTTACTGCTATATGGAGGTGAATGTTTTGAGTGTGATAACTGCGGCATGTTTGTCTTTGTTCCTTTGACGATTCTTCTTAGTTCTGTCTGGATCAAATGTGGATGCAGGTATTCATATGACTCCATCTCCAGCGTCCCTCAGAAACCTCTCTACTTCAACGAGAGATATTTGGACGTGAAGAACGTAGTTCTCAGCACGTTTTTCGGTCCTCCCAAAGAGGGTGTATATAGCGCTTCGGTCCAAAGCACTCTTTTCCAAATAGAGAAGGCCGTACTGCTAAGGTCTCTCCTGTGCTTTTTACTGGTTTCAATTACGAAGCTGCGTGATATACTGATATGGTAACCCCTGAGAGCCATTTTTGCTTTTTTGGTCGTGTTTCAGATTCCCCGACATATCATCTGTCCGGCTGAAAATGCCAAACATCCACTTTTTACCCGTCAATATTTCAACCAAGGACAACTCTATTGTGAAGGTAAAAAGACCTCTTCCTCTCAAAAGCTGCAGAAATAGGCTTGTCACAGTTGGTTAATCTCGTATCTTGGTGGAAATGAATCATAGGGAGAATTCATGGACTTGAATTCTTCACAAAGTTGGGGGGGCTACCATTTTGTACTTTCTTCCTGAAACTTGGACCTATGCCATAGTTTTGCAGCGTACTATTTCCTTGTTAGGATGTTCACCAGAAACTTTCCTTTTACGGCAGTTTAACGACGACGTGTATCTGCCAACTGACGAGCCCCATGGATCAATCGAAGCAACTCTCAGTCGCTTCTGGGCAAGAATGTAGAAGAAGATACAACAAGAGCACATGTCGTCGGTTCGTTCACTCGACGCCTTGTAACAAGCTGCAATGTATGCCTGTAAGCTCCCCCACTTGATTGACATGTAAATTACAGTGTGACATTAGACAGTAATAACACGACGAAACTGGCAACAAGCCAGTCGTCGTCAAGGTTCTCAATTCTCTCGTACCGATCGATAATCTAGAAAACAAAGGGAATCAGAGCCTTGACATGAGCAGGGAAATCATCAAACTTTGACAGGTACCACTCTCTGGTGACTTTGCTCCTTCCCATCAGGTACAGAGTAGTCCCGACGGCGACACAGAACGCGTAGAGCGTCTGCGAGACGAGGGCTATACCGTAGAATCCGATGATCTCGAACAGGTAATGAGGGCAGATCACCAGCTCAAACATCCCACCCTTGGGGATCTTGTACTCTTTGTTCTTGTTCTTGCTGTTCTCGCCGCGGTCTGATCTCAGCTTGGAGAGCAAGTAATGGTGGTAGAAATTCCCGGCGATCCCAACGACGAACAGCACCGCCCCGTAGAGCTTCAAATCAACGGCCGGCTCCGGGATCATTGCCTCCTCCGTCAAACGCTGGGCGTAGATCGTGATTGCCGTGATGCTGAAGTAACTTAGGCTGATCGGAATCGCGGATTCCACGGCCATGGTGCCGCTGTACTTGTGCAGGAACAGTGTCTGCAATCAAATCGGTCAACGGAGGATCAGATTTCCGCTCTACAAAAATTGGAACTGGATTGAATTGGAAGCGGGAGTGCGTACCTCGAGCAGCCTTTTGAGGAAATGGATGGCGAGGGCGGACTCGACAAGGAGGAGCCTAGAAGACGGAGGAGCGCCGCCGCCATGGAGGAAGAGCAAGGAGGCGATGGCGGCGAGGAAGGCAGGGAAGTAGAGCACGAACATCCCGATTCTGCTGGGGAGGGAGGACCAGGAGGACGATTTCGACGACGGCGACGACGACGAGCCGGCGAACTTGGAGTACTTCAAGTGTGTGCCTCGGATCTCCGAGAAGCCGAAGAAGGCCAAATACGCAACCACCGCCGCCGACATCGCTGATACGAAGAGCGACGGCGGCGGTTGGAACATCACGACTCTCAGGCAGCTCATCACTTCCTCCATTTCTGATTACGGCTTCCGATTGCTCTTTCTTATCCTGACCGGCCACTGCTCCTTCGATCTGCTTCTTTCCTCTTCTCCTGCAAGTTGCTATATATATAAAAGAAAAAAAACAATAAGCTTGGCTGATCTGTTAATGGCGGAGGCACCAACTCACTGTTTATTGCAATGGCGTGCATTCACATTGCAATTGCAAGCTGCAGGATTAGTAAAAGAAAGGGTTAATATTTTTGGCTACCTAAATAAATATTTTGGCCAATCTTTTCGATTTATAATATACTAGCCCGAACTATACACCAAAATAAATAATTTGGCCAAATCCGACTTTTGACCGTTAACTTGGACGGTCAAACGCGCCATGTCACTTCCAAGTCAGCATAAAATATTTAAAATAATTCACAATTTTCACACATTCCATAATTTTAAATTATTATAAATTAAAAAAAATCATATAATACCTTAGTTAAACCAAAAATAAAAACGAAAAAAATTAAATATGTATCATATCTTCTGATTTGGCAGTGACGTGGCGCGTTGACTAACGGTCAAACATCAGGTTTGGTCAAATTGTTTATTTTGGTGTATAGTTCGGATTAGGATGTTATAGATAGAAATGATTGGCCAGAATATTTATTTTGGTCAAAGTTTAGATCATACGGAATATCGATTTCGATTTGATGGCTAGAAAGTCAAATTGGGCCGAGTTGGAGAATCCATTTCCACGCGGTGGGAAGTTGCTCCACGTCCCTTTTACTTGTAGCGGGCTTCCAGCCTTCCACAGCCCACTATTCTTGTCTTACCTCCTTTTACACACTATTTTCTTTTCACACTATGATCGGAAATAGGATGGACTATGGGTTTTGTAAAAGCGCATGCTTTTTTTTCCGCGTGGTTGATAGCTCCAAAGAAAATGATTTTTCGAAAAAAATCGCAGAATTTTTTTTGTAAAATACACTCCGAATAAAATCCGTTCAAAATCGTCGATTAATAGATTTAATCATTGGTGGAGAGCCTTATGTCGAATCTGCGAACAGTAGCCTTTAAAATCAAAAGAAAATATCCTTTCGAAAAAATAGTATGAAATCTGTGATGGTAGTACCCCTTTGAAAATCTGCAAAAAATGGTCCAGGAAAAAATCATGTCAACTCGTTACCTAGTAGACTTAATCATCTGTGAATACTATGATTTGTGGCCTTCAGAATTCCGGGAAAATGGCATTTGGGAAAATCACACAGAAGATTATGAAAATGCCCTCCGAAAACCTCGACCAAATCTGCGATTAATAGACTTCATCATAAGTGGAGAATAACCTAAGTCCAAATCGGTATTATGTAGCATTCAAAATTATAAAAAAATTGACATTTCCAAAAAAATCGCGCAAAATATGTGATGGTAGTACCCCTTTTGGATCTGCCAAAAATGAAATCAGAATAAATGCGCTCAAATCGGTGCCTAATAGACATAACCTTTAGTGAAGAAAAGCCTCAGTCCAAATATGTGATTGTTTGCAAATGCGACCATGAATCCAACCAGATTGAAAGATTCAGCTGTCGTTGGACAAACTTTGTCGAAACGTCGACCACAAACGAAGGATGGCCAAGCCCCGTTCCCAGGGTTAGGGTATTCCCTATTATGATGATACCTTTCTGAATCTGCTAAAAGTGGACCCGGAATAAATCCAAGGAAAATAGACGAATCCGTGATCTGTAACCTCCTAAATCCAAAGAAAATGGACTTTCAAAAAATTGCACAAAAAATTACAAAAATACCTTTCAAAAAAATCTGCCAAAATAGGTGACTAATAGACTTCATCATCGGTGAAGAATAGACTCAGGCCAAATCGGTGTTTTGTAGCCTTCAAATACAAGGAAATGGTCTTTCGAAAAAATAGCATGAAATTAGTGACAATACACATTTGGGATCTGCCAAAAATGAATCCGGAACAAATCCGCCCAAATCGCTGCTTAATAGACTTAATCATTGCTAATAGCCTTAGGCCGAATCTGAGTTCTAAAGCCTTCAAAATCGAAAGAAAATGGTCTTTCAAAAATATCGCCGGAAATCTGTGATGGTATCCCCTTTAAAATCTGCCAAAAATGGCCCGCAAAAAAATCATTCCAAATAATTGCTTATTACACTTAATCATCGGTGAAGAATAGTGTCAAGCTGAATCCATAATGTGTAGCATTCAAAATCACAAGAAAATGATATTTCCAAAAAAAAAAAAAATATGAAAATACCCTCCGAAACAAATCCTCCCAAATAGCCTATTAATATACTTCATCATCGGTGGAGAATACCTCAGGTCAAATCCGTGATCTATAGCATTCAACATCAAAAGAAAATGGTATTTCCAAAAAGTAACCCGAAATCTATGACCATTTGTAATCTGCCAAAAATGCTCCCGGAAAAAACCTTCCAAATCGTTGTTTAATAGAATTAGTCACCGATGAATAATAGTCTCAGGTAAAATTCGTGATTTGTAGTCTTAAAAATATAAGGATAATGACCTTTCGAAAAAAAAAATGCCTTCCGAAAAAAATCTGCACAAATCGGCGATTAATAGACTTCATTATTGGTGGAGCCAAGAAAAATGGTCTTCCGACCGCTCAAAATCTGTGATGGTGGGACCTGCCAAAAAGGGACCCGGAATAAATCCATCCAAACCAGTACTTATTAGACTCAATTATCGTTGGAGAATAGCCTTAGAATGAATATGTGATCTGTAACTTTCAAAATAAAAAGAAATGATATTTCAAAAAATCGCCCGAAATGAGTGATAGTACCCTTTTTGAATCGTTAAAAAATGACTCCGAAAAAATCCACCCAAATCGTTGCTTAATAGACTGATCATCGATTAAGGATAGTCTCAGTCCGAATCCGTGATCTATACCTTTCAAAATCCCGGGAAAATAGCATTTCGGTTAATCGCAAAAAATCAAAATGCTCTCTGAAAAATATACTCCCAAATCTGCAATTAATAGACTTCATCATCGGTAGAGAATAGCCTCATGTGCTAGATATTGATCTATAGTTTTCAAAATCAAAGAAAAATGTTATTTTGATAAAATCGCCTGAAATCTATGATGTTACCATCACATATTTCTAGCGATTTTTCCGATATGTCATTTTCTTTCGATTTTGAAAGTTACAAATCACGGATTCAGCTCGAGACTATTCTCCACCGATAATGAAGTCTATTTATCATATTCTCCACCGATTATAAAGTCTATTAAGCATCGATTTTGGCGAATTCATTTTCGGATGACATTTTCGTAAATTTTCCCGCGATCTTTTTCGAAATATCATTTTTCTTAAATTTTGAAGGATAAAGATTATAGATTCGTTCTGAGGCTATTCTCCAACGATGATTAAGTCCATTAAACACCGATTTGGGCAGATTTATTCTAGGTCAATTTTTGGCAGGCTACAAAAGGGTAACATCGAAGATTTTGGACGATTATCCCGAAATGCCATTTTCTTTCCATTTTGAAGACTATAGATCACAGATTCAGCCTGTTACTATTCTCCATCGATAATGAAGTCTATGGATCCTATTCTCTACCGATTAAGTACATTAAGAAACAATTTGGGCAAATTCATTTTCTGATGACATTTTCGTGATTTTTTTGTGAGTTTTTTATCGAAAGACCATTTTACTTGGGTTTTCAATGCTACATATCACGGATTAGGCCTAAGCCTTTTCTTCAATGATGATTAATGTCCATTAAGCACCGATTTGGGCGGATTACTTACTGGTTCATTTTTTGCGGACTCCAAAGGGGTACCATAACAGATTTCGAGCGATTTTTCCGATATACAATTTTCTCACGATTTTGAAGGCTACGGATCACGGATTTAGCGCGAGGCTATTCTCCACCGATGATGAAGTCTATTTATACTATTCCCCACCGATGATTAAGTCCATTAAGCACCGATTTGGCGATTCATTTTCGAATGAAATTTTATAATTTTTTTGGCAAAATTTTTCAAAAATGTCATTTTTCTAAGGCTACAGATCACGGATTCGGCATGAGACTATTCTTCAATGATGATTAAGTCCATTAAGCACCAATTTCGGCAGATTTCTTCCGAGTTCATTTTTTGCAAATTATAAAGGGGTACCATCACAGATTTCGGATGATTTTCCCGAAATGACATTTTATTTTCGATTTTGAAGTCTATTGATCCTATTGATCCTATTGAAGACTATTCCCACCGATAATGAAGTCTATTGATCCTATTGAAGACTATTCCCACCGATAATGAAGTCTATTGATCCTATTCTACATTGATTATTAAGTTCACTAAGCACCGATTTGGGTAATTCATTTTCAGATGACATTTTTGTAATTTTTTTACGATTATTTTCGAAATGCCATTTTCTTTGGTTTTTGAAGGCTACAGATCATAGATTCAACCTGAGGCTATTCTTCCACTATGATTAAGTCAATTAAGCACTTATTTGGGCGGATTTCTTCCAGGTCCATTTTTGGCAGACTCCAAAGGCGTACGATCACAGATTTCGGGCGATTTTCCTGAAATGTCATTTTCTTTTGATTTTGAAGGATAAAGATCACGGACTTAGCCCGAGACTATTCTCAACAGATAATGAAGTCTATAGATCCTATTCTCCACCATTGATTAAGTCAATTAAGCACCAATTTGGACGAATTAATTTTTGGATGGCATTTTAGTAAGGCATGTGTTCTTGGATTTTGAAGTCTACATCAATGTAGTCAAAAGCGAGTTTCTATGTAGAAACGTTTTAGTGACCTAGATACATAAAATCGCGATTTTGACTACATTAGTCTACATATCACGAATTTGGCCTGAGACTAATTTTCAACGATGATTAAGACCATTAAGCACCGATTTGAGCGGATTTCTTCTTGACCCATTTTTGGCAGACTCCAAAGAGTTACCATCAAAAATTTCGAGCGATTTTTGAGAAATACCATTTTTCGATTTTGAATGTTAAAGATCACAGATTCAGGTCGAGGCTATTCTCCAGCGATAATGAAGCATATTGATCCTATTCCCCACCGATGATTAAGTCCATTAAGCCCAAATTTCGACAAATTCATTTTCAGATGACATTTTTGTAATTTTTTGGCAAATTTTTTTTTATAGGCTTCCTTGGATTTTGAATGCTACATATCAGGGATTCCGCCTAAGGCTATTCTTTAACGATGACTAAGTCCATTGAGCAACGATTTGGGCGGAATTCTTCTGGGTTCATTTTAGGAAGACTCCAAAGGGGTACCATCACAGATTTTGAGGGATTCTCCCGAAATGCCATTTTCTTTCGATTTTAAAGGCTACAGATCAGTGATTCAGCCTGAGTCTATTCTCCACCGATAATGAAGTCTACTGATCCTATTCCCCACCCATACTTAAGTCCATTAAACATCGATTTGTGCGAATTGATTTTCGGATGACATTTTCATAATTTTTTGGGCGATATTTTTCTAAAGGCCATTTTTCTTGGATTTTGAAGGCTACAGATTTCAGATTCGTCCTGAGGCTATTTTTCAACGATGATTAAGTAAATTACACACCGATTTGGAAGAATTTCTTCCGGGTCCATTTTTGGCAAACTCCAAAGGGGTACCATCACAGATTTCGAACGATTTTCCTGATATACAATTTCCTCCAACGATAATAAAGTCTATGGATCTTATTATCCATCGATGATTAAGTCCATTAAGAACCGATTTGAGCAAATTCATTTTCGTAATTTTTTGGGATAATTTTTTCGAAGATCATTTTTCTTGTATTTTGAAGGCTACAGATCTCGGATTCGTCCTTAGGCTATTATTCTTCAACAAAGATTAAGTTCATTACGCACCCGATTTGGGCGAATTCCTTCCGGGTCCAGTTTTGGGCTTTTGGGAGACTCCAAAGGGTAAAATCACATATTTCATACGATTTTGCCGAAATGTCATTTTCTTTCGATTTTGAGGGCTACATATCATAGATTCAACCTGAGATTATTCTTCACCGATAATGAAGTCTATTGATTATATTCTCAATCGATGATTAAGTCCATTAAGCACCGATTCAGGCGAATTCATTTTCAAATAGCATTATCATAATTTTTTGGCAATTTTTTCAAAACCCCATTTTAATTGGATTTTGAAGGCTACAGATGACGGATTCGGCCTAAGGCTATTCTTCAATGATGATTAAGTTCATTAAGCACCGATTTGAGCGAATTTCTTCTGTGTCCATTTTTGGCAAACTTCAAAGGGGATACCATCATAGATTTCAGTCGATTTTCTCGAAATGTCATTTATTTCAATTTTAAAGGATACAGATCACGAATTTGTCCTACTGCTATTCTTCAACGATAATTAAATCCATTAAGCACCAATTTGGACGAATTTCTTCCGAGTCCATTTTTGGTAGACTCCAAAGGGGTCATAAGAGACTTCGGGGGATTCTCCTGAAATGCCATTTTCTTTCGATTTTGAAGGCTACAGATCACGGATTCAGCCCGAGCCAATTCTCCGCCGATATTGAAGTCCATTGATCCTATTCTTCACCGATGATTAAGTCCATTAAGCATTGATTTGGGCGAATTCATTTATTGATGGCATTTTCGTAATTTTTTTGTGACTTTTTTCTTAAAACCATTTTCCTTGGATTTTGAAGGCTACAGATCACAGATTCGGTCTGAGACTATTCTTCAACGATGATGAAGTCCATCAAGAAAATATTTGTTTGGATTTCTTCCTGGTTCATTTATGGCAAACTCCAAAGGGGTACCATGACAAATTTTGTGCAATTTTCATGAAATGCCTTTTTTATTCGATTTTGAAGGCTACAAATCACGGATTCAACCCGAGTCTATTCTCCAGTCTCCACCGATAATGAAGGCTATTGATCCTATTCTCAACCGATGATTAAGTTCATTAAGCATCGATTAGGGAGAATTCATTTCTGGATAATTTTTTTCGTAATTTTTTGGGCGTTTTTTTTCTAAAGGCCATTTTCCTTCGATTTTGAAAGCTACAGATCACAGATTCGGCCTGAGGGTATTCTTCAACGATGATTAAGTTCATTAAGCACCGATTTAGGAAGATTTTTTCGGGTCCATCTTTGGCATACTCCAAAGGGGTACCATCACAGATTTTAGATGATTTTTCCCGAAAATCCATTTTCTTTCAATTTTGAAGGCAACTGATCACATATTCAGTCCGAGACTATTCTCCATTGATAATGAAATCTATTGATCCTATTCTCGATCGATGATTAAGTCCATTAAGCACCTATTTGGGCGAATTCATTTTCAGATGACATTTTCGTAATTTTTTTGGTGATTTTTCAGTAGGTCGTTTTCATTTGATTTTGAAGGCAACAGATCACAAATTCGTCCTAAGGCTATTCTTCAATGATGATTAAGTCTCTTAAGCACCAATTTGGGCGGATTTCTTCTATGTACATTTTTTGAAAACTCCAAAGGGGTAGCATCACATATTTCGGTCCATTCTACCGAAATGCAATTTTATTTTGACTTTGAAGGCTACAGATCACAGATTTAGCACGAGGCTATTCTCCACCGATAATGAAGTCTGTTGATCCTATTCTCCACCGATTATTAAGTCCATTAAGCACCTATTTGGGCGAATTCATTTCCAGATGACATTTTTGTAATTTTTAGCGATTTTTTTCTAAAGGCCATTTTTCTCGGATTTTTAAGGCTACAGATCACGGATTCGGCGTGAGGCTATTCTTCAACGATAATTAAGTCCAAACGGGTTACCTATCACAGATTTTTGATGATTTTTCCGAAATGCCATTTTCTTACAATTTTGAAGGCTACAGATCACGGATTCAGCCCGAGGCTATTTCTCAGCTAT